GGTCAAAGAGGAAGTGACAGGTAGATTCCCACAGCAGTCTGGCTTTGGAGCTGGATGCTGGGAGTTCTCAGGACTGCCGCCAATAACGGTAGGTGGAGCTGTGGCTCCATTGCTGTTGTTGTTGGAAGCAAAAAGGGCCTCTGCCAGTCGCAGCTGCGTGGGCTTACACTAGTGCAGGCACTCCCACCACGCGCTTGGGAGATGCCGTGGTACCGTTGTGCCTCCTAGACCTGGAGGCGGCTGCTTTCTGCCTGAAGGCAGCTGCTTTTCCGTTTATCTTCTCGAGGTTTCGAATAAGGGACTTGTCAAGCAGCTGACGAATGTACCACTGTCGCTCTTCATTGAGACTATCAAGGGTAGTTCCAAGGGCTTGGATGGAGGTGTGCTGCTCATCCAGATCTCTTCATATCAGCCTGAAACCGTTATCCTCCCGGGTTGTAGGGGAAGTGTGGCTAGTTGTTCTTGTCTAGCCTGTTTCCTTGGTTCTCTAGCCTTCGAGGCCTTCCGTGATGGTGGAGGAGTCACTGTGGGTATGTAGAGTGACATGGTTGTTTTCTGTCTGCCAAGGGAGAGGTGTAGGCTGTACTTGGTGGGAACACTCGATCTCAGCTCTTGTCGCAGTGCAATAAAGCTTGACTCAACTGTAATCTGGAAACCACAAAGATGACTTCTTGGGACCTTGCTAGGGGCCTGGGAAATTCAATTTGGTGGTAATTGAATAAGGTAGCCTGTGTACAACCTTTGGAACCTGTTTCCTGAGTTGCTCTGGTGCTGTGAATTGGCTTGGATTGTGGGTATTTTGCCACTGAGGATCCATGCAACTTTGGGCCAATGAATCTCCCCGCACAAGTTGCTTGTACTGAAGGTGAGATACCCACTGACTAAACAAGGGATGGCGGATTCAATGGTACCTTGTTCAGCCACTCGAATCGATCTATTGGTAGGCTCGAGGCTCTCCGAGTTGCTCCGGAAGATCGCGATTTCGTGCCGAATTCAATGACTCGACCACGTAAAACCTTCAAAATGTGAGGACGCTTCGAGTTTACAGAGGCTGAACCTGCTTTCGGTTCGGGGAACGTTGTCGTATAAGGCTTCGGAGATCCAGGATCGAAGCGGAACTCGCAAACTGACTCAGTGCACGTCGTGATAAGTACCAAAACTATACGTGACACTCGAATACTGCACGGGCGATTTGATTGGCTGAGCGTCTTCCGTAAAAGCTTCTAAAGCGTTCCGTGGAATTCCTGAAACAATACAGGACGGAAACTCGTGACACTCGAAAACTGCACAGACGGCTGATGCACGTTCCGTGGAATCACCAAGAGATAAGCCTCCGAATCAACAATAAATCCAAACGTTCTGTGTAATTCGCTGATTGACTGGGAAGGAATAAGCCCGTTCCACAAAGCGTAAAATCGTTGCTCGATTGCCAAAAGAGGTGCGAAATCAATAAGTCTCCCGTGCACTCGGAGACTCTTCACGGTGACCGCTTCTTCTTTCGAGTGAATTGAGTGCTTTGCTCGTCGTGTCAACAGGAAGATAGAAGGTACCTGTATCGAGGCAATGGCGTCGTGGCTGAGGTTGTCCGAATATAGGTCTTTTCGTGATGACAATGATGTTGTTGGCCTTGTAGGAGTGGTGTATGGCCAAGTCAAAGGTTCCTGTCACTGTGGTGGTGGCTGGGACTATCAAAATTGACCAGAAGGTTGTTGACTTAGGAGTTCGAAGTGGACCTGAAATCAACACCAAATGCCAGTGAAATCCAATGAAACCAACTGTAACTGTAGTGTAATTCGAAGAGATCCTTTTCTCGTCAAGGAGGTCTCTTCTTCCCTTAAGGACTGCCTGCAAATCTATGCGACTGTTAATCCAATAAGTTTCTAGAAGTACTCAGTTCCAATACTCCAGTAGTGGACTGGGTCTCGCTGAAACCCTTCCTCAGGGACAGCGGTAGTCAGGCAGTTCAGGGAGCCTTGTCGTGCCTCAGGAGTGTTCCAACACCTCCAGTAGGCACCAAACCAAGGACTTGGCCCTGTCAGTCAGACAGGAGGGCCAGCAGAGCTCTCTGCTGGACCCTTTGGGCCAGCTCTCCTCAGGAGCTGGGAGCCTTCGTTATTCAATCGTGCAGCGGCAGTCTGGGAACAGTACTATCAGCTACCTCCTACTGCTTCTGCCCGGCCTCAACAGGATAGGTATCAACTGCTGCGGTATCAAAGGGGCTACAAGCTAATCAGGATCGGTCTCAATCTTTCGTACTATTTTCTTAACTATGGTAGAAAGGACGATCCTTTCTTGCTGCTTTGGCTGGAGATAAGCCAGCTGTAGGTGCTGGAGCTGTAGGCCAGCATAGCTGTTGGAGCTATCTCTGACGGGATCCAGAGCTCTCGCTCCTAAAAGTTATCGCTGACTCTGGCAGCCCATCTCTTCTCCATTGTGAGTGGTTGGTGGTGTTGCTGCTGTGGCTTCTGCTGTTGCTGTTGGTGGCTCCATCGTGCTTTTTTCGCTGAGCGAGTAATGACCGGAAGAGGACCATCGTCGATCGATCGAGGAAAGGAATCCTCTTTTCCGGAAAGAAGAAACACGAAAATGGCGACTAGGTAGCACGTTTGCTCTGTAATATCTATAAATGGTACGTTAAATATATTTGAATATTTGCTGACGCATTTGCTGATGTCATAGGTTGATTAGCCAATCAAATCACTGCCATTCACCCCTTTTCCGCTCAGGTCCAGCTTTGCTCGCCACACTCCATTAGCTCACGGTTACAATGAGTACAGGACTACTATCAATCCATGTGCCAAAAAACTGTTCACACAGGAAAATGGGTACTGACACAGGAATCACCAACTAAACACTAGGAAATAACAAGGAGGGATGAATCCGGTAGGAGGATCGACTCTCTTTTGTGTTGTCGAGTAGCGTAGCCTCCTCTTGTTGAATGACTCGGCGACGATCTGTTCGGGCTGCTGGTAAGGCTGGAGATAACAGAGCCTCCTCTTATTCTCCTCGGTATTGGTAGCCTCTCCTCTTTTTGTTATTCGGAGCAATCGATTGTTCGAAAAGGACTTGACAATGGGATTTCCTCGGCCATCAGCAGTGCACCAGAGAAAACAACAAATAGATATGAGTTTTGTTTTCTGTGCTCAACTGAAGAAAACCAGTGACTTACCCTTGTTCTTCAAATTCCACCAACTTTGTTGTCATGGGCCGAGAACTGACTGCCATCCCATAGTCCATAGGATTCAATGATCGAGGGATGGCTCTCGAATCTGCACCGGAGAAGGTCGGCTTGAATAACAGAGGTGTGGCGATTCGAATAATTAAAACAATTCACCTGTTGATGGCCGAGATCTGACTGCCATCCCATGGTCCATAGAATTCAATGAGGGATGGCTTTTGCATCTGCACCTTCAATATCACTCTTGATAATAGGCTTACTTCGTACCGTACCGGTCGTTCAATCGATCCAACACCACTCTTGTCGGCCAAGCTTGGATTTCTCTCCTGTTTCCCATACAAATTCAATGAGGGAGAGAAGTCAGTGCTGTGCCTTCACTGATGGACTTGAGGGTATGCTTAGCTTGTAAAGCCAGTATGGTGCCGGTACTGGTACTAGCTACATGTAGTACGAGTACATGCAGTACAGCCGTACTAGCTAGTCTAGTACTGTAACAGAGGTGCCCACCCAAAGCCCACCACCACAAAAGATCGCCTCAGAGATCACCAGGGTCTGCACGGCATATCAATGAGGCGTCTTGCCAGGAAACATCATATTTTTGCAGGTAGTCTATAACTTTTTCCTGGAAAAATTTCACTCAGAGTCTTGAGGGGCCAAAACTTGCATGATCCCAACTGCGTACTCTTTATGGGCTTTCAAATCCGAACAATTGGGCCCACATAGAAAGGGCCCGAAATCACGATTTACATGGAATTCTGCTTTATATTTGGATTTCGATTTTATATTTAGGTTTCGATTTTATATTTAGGTTTCGGTTTGATATTTAGGTTTCGGTTTGATTTTACTAGTTATTTACCATAGTAATTTGGTTTCGGTTTTATATTTAGGTTTCGGTTTTATATTTAGGTTTCGGTTTTATATTTTGGATTGGAATTGATCAATTTAATTGGATTCTTAAAATCCTGATTTCGAGCCCTTTCATACCAAAAGCCACAGACTCGCTCGGTTGACCGGAATGCCAAGGAGAACTCTGTAGAAGTAGAGGACAGCATAGCAGTACAATGCACATCGTTGAGTTGCATGGTCCATGTTGTAATTTGGCTTCTGTTTTATTTCGCCCACAACTAATTCAGTTCCACGCAGTACACAAAGGTCGGGCTTGAAGGTTAACTTGACAAGGATCCGGTGCTCCTTTTCTTGGATATTGATATCATCCAACTTAATCGCTCTTACATGCTCCTCGAAGATAGTTTTCAGACTATTCTCGCGGTACTTTACACTACCATCTGTGCTGGTGGAACCGAAACTTGGCCAAGCTGCAAGGGGATGGGCTCAGAAGCAGCGACAAACACTTCATTGCACTACAGTATGTACATTACCTCGCTCTCCCAAGTTTCTCGTGTCCTTGTCAACATCAAAAACCGCAGACGATGCTAGCTAGTGGCAGCAGTGGCAGCAACAGGTCTTTCTGCAGCACCAAACTATGAAGTACCTCCAACAGCATGGGAGGGGAAGGAATCGATTTGGAGCCATCTGGCGCTGAAAAGGAATCTTGAGGAGGGAATCCAACTTTCATCTTATATTTTAGCTCGCTAGCTATGGAATCCAAAGAGAGATGATGCCTCAGTGACGGAATCCAAAGAGAGATGGCACTTCCCAGGCACATCCTGTTGGAAGCGGCGTTGGAGCAGGTGTAAAAAGTGGTGCTGGCGTCGGGGCTGGAGTTGGTACAGCTGGTGCTGGAGTTGGCGCTGGTGTCGGCGCTGGTGAAGGGCCTGACAAACTATACAGAAAAGGGATCCATGAGTGTCATGATGGAAGGCGCCGAGAAGGAGGCAAGGACACATTCATACCTATGTTTCGATATGCAGCTATGGCGGCTTCGTTGGCATAACGCAGACGATGCTAGCTAGTGGCAGCAGTGGCAGCAACAGGTCTTTCTGCAGCACCAAACTATGAAGTACCTCCAACAGAATGGGAGGGGAAGGAATCGATTTGGAGCCATCTGGCTCTGAAAAGGTATCTTGAGGAGGCAATCCAACTTTCATCTTATCTTTTAGCTCGCTAGCTATGGAATCCGAAGAGAGATGATGCCTCAGTGACGGAACCCAAAGAGAGATAACACTTCCCAGGCACATCCTGTTGGACGCGGCGTTGGAGCAGGTGTAAAAATTGGTGCTGGCGTCGGGGCTGGCGTCGGGGCTGGCGTTGGTACAGCTGGTGCTGGAGTTGGCGCAGGTGTCGGCGCCGGTGATGGGCCTGACGAACAATACAGAAAAGAGATCCATGAGTGTCATGATGGAAGGCGCCGGGAAGTAGGCAAGGAAACATTCATACCTATGTGTCGATATGCAGCTATGGCGGCTTTGTTGGCATTTATAGTTCCTCGACAATTCTGATTGATGAATTCATTCATAGGCATTAGACATGAAGAAATCTTGAAAGTCAAAGGCGCACGCATACAGGTTTCAAACAGAGAATTGACGTACATTGTTAGCACCCCCCAGAGAGTTCATATCCGTGTAGTCTGCAATCCCGGAAAAGTAGGGAATCCTGGGGCAACCAGTGACTGTACCTTTGTCACATTGATCAGTTCGGCAATTGTATGCCATCACCGTTCGCCATAAGCCTGATGGTTGTCGATACCCATAGTTAGTAGCTTTATGTACTTTCTCGTCGCATTGATTGTTGGACCCGCGGTCATGGTCACAGCCCTGTGTAAAGAGATTCGGGGGTACTACTTGTCAGTTATCCAGCCCAACCAAACAGGAGTGAAATTGATACAATCAATGGCAATGCAATGGTTACCTTACCATGTTGTGACCAAGTTCATGCGTAAAGGAGTACGCCATCGCGAAGAAACAATTTGTGCTCATTGTTGAGAAGCTGGCGGAAGGTCCGCCAAAGAAAAAGGCATATCCGCAGGTGCTGTCACTATCTTCGTCGACCGCCATGATCAAGTCACTGCCATAGGTATCCCTGGACGTGAATAGTTCAAACGAACGACGATGCGTGAGCACGAGTTGAGACACTCTGTATATCAAATCATCAATTTTCTTCACCCGATATACTAACGCGATTGTGTTCAGATCATCCATGTACGAATCAGAATCATCGGCTATCCTTAGGAGGAGGAGGCTCATATTGCCGTTTCCCACGTATCCGGACACGTCTCGTTGCCGTACAAGGTTGAATGTAATCTGAGTGTCAGAATTGGAATGGACAGTTTCGGCTTCGGTCTTGAGCGCATCTATGCCAGCCTCGATGTTTGCTTGGGTCGTTGAGGTAACAGTACAGCCAGTGGTCAGGTTGCTGTAATGGCATTCTGCCTTCTCTGTCCATACTACCAACAAGTCAATTGTTGTAGCGGTCTCCGGGGACACATTCGACGTGCTGGTTGTCGCATTGCTGACAGTAATTGTGCTGTGCCCCTTTGGTGGCTCTGGGGGGTCGCCTTCACGATTCATATCCTCCACATATTTGACAACCACAATTTGTTTACCGGCGCCATTTCTTTTGATTATGTAGTAAATTCCATTGATGGTATCATGAGCGGTTCCCGTCACGATGTTGTGAAGGCCGTCGTCCGAGACATGTCGTGACAACGAAACCAAAATAGATTCATCGTCAGTCGATCCATAAAAGAACTTCTCGCTCATATGCATGTTCGTTACCGTCCAGACGGGCGTCGAGGAAAGCACCTTGATCTCAAGTTGGTCCAAACCATAGAACTCAAAATTTGTGCCAAGTCCAGTCACATCAATATACTTGAAGCCATCGGAAGGATTCTCAGCCTCTAGATCTGGTTGGATATGATAACTCTGGGAAACATGGAGCAGTCCAGGCAGAATGAAGAGTAATGCTCTTACTCTGTTCCAAAAGGCAGTCATGATCCCTCTTGTGCTTACAAGAAGCCGCCGACAAAGGATGATGGTGGCAAAGGGCGCCGTAAAAGTTCGAGCACAAAAACTGAGGACCACTAAAATAACTGTTGATGACTAAATTGTGTTGAAAGATCGAATGATGATCAGTCTAACGTTTGGTGGCGGTTGGCGGTTATTGCTCCGTTATAGTTTGAAGAAGATGTTAAATCCCATTCCTCCAACGCCTTCTGGACACATTCGAGGTGCGTTCTGAGGTGCGCAGCACGCACCACCTCTGTAATACCACACGAGAGAACTTGAAGCATGAATGGAGAACTTCTCTTTCTATGCAGGACTGTTCCAAGGTTAATATTTGTTAAGTCTTCTTCAATTTCCCCCTTAAATCTTTAACCTAATTCCTCCTCATCTTTTCATCTTTTTGGCTGCCTGCCTTCTCCCACGCTCCCCACGTACCCACGTACTAGTACAGTAAGGTATAGTACCAATACGGTACCAATAGCTACATGTATGGATGGTTGCCATGAGAGCTCTAGCTAGCTATTTTAAAATAGTACTCGAGTAGTACAAGTAGCCTCTTATGATACGGCAGATGGAAACAAACGGCGATGCACTTAGCATGATTGCCATAACAGGTGGCAACCAAAAATAGCGAATATAGTAGTTTTTAAAATCTCAAATGCTGCCCAAATCTCAGGAAGCTGGTTTCATTGGGAGACGGCACGTTGAGAAAGTTTTTCTATGAACAGTCCAATCTAAACCTCCAAGTCCTTCATGGTGGCAAAATCACCACAATCACTCTGAAGACTACACAATGTTGACTATACTAGGCACTGGGGAAAGACGGGCTTGCAGCTCTGGTATAAATTCGATCAGAAAAGAGTGCTTTCCTCTTATTGATTGTTTGGGATCGGCGGATTCACCGTGCTGCTGGGTGAACGATCTGAAACTTCGGTGCTCAATAAATCTTCCACTAGGACTATCATATGAGTTAGAGAGCGTGGACGAAAGTGGGCTAGGCAAACTTGAAACCTCTGAAGTTGAGCCACTGTGACAACACCACACACACCACCCATGATTTTTGCAGCGGACCAATACTTTGCTATCCATCAAATATTGCTACTTGCCAAGTAGAGATTGATGCAAATGGGGGCAGCTTCGCCACCCTTGACCCCATCCCCGTATTCCATTGTCGTTAATCCTACTTCTGTTGCTGCCGCCCGTACATTCCAGCCAAATCCACGGGACAGGGGATTGGCGGAAGGCTACGTAGCTCGTCCTCAGCGTGGCTATTGTTGTCTGGTACATGATACAGCGGCAGCTCCAATGTAAACGTCGTCCCATTTTCACTCGAGGATGCTTTCAGATCACCATTATGTTGCAATGCCACCCTCTTGCTGATCAAAAGCCCAATGTCTTTGATCTTTCCCGCTTCGAAATTGTCAGCCGAAATGACTTCTGCTCCATCCTGCAGCAATTGAAGCTGTGATTCTGCCAATCCTTTGCCCGTGTCCGTAACCTCGAGACGGGCCGTCCCACGACGGTTGAAACTCACTTCTTCCCCCAATTCCAACACGTGCTTGTCGTATGTTTCCGAATCGGACATGGGTTCCCAAGAAACTCGAATGGTCAATCGGCCTGATGTTATGCGCAGGGGGAAATGTGAGAGAAGAACTGTCTAGGCAACAACAGGAGGATACAACTTGCACTCGTACGTACCATTCGGAGATGTCACCTTGATTGCGTTGGAGAGTAGGTTTCGAAGCAGTTGCGTCAGACGCTTTTGATCTCCCACTAGTTTGAGAGACTCCATTCTGGTCTCTGGATCTTCCAAATCATCTTCACCCTCCAGGTCCGTATCCAACAGGCGATTCTCCAACGAGTATTGCAGGTTTTTGCTGCGGGCACTGTACAGGAATTCCTGCGACGTGTCCGAGATGAGCTTCCACAGATTCAACACGGACAGCTTCAACGCAAAGCTGCTGTCGTCCTCGGTGTCGGTTGTTTGAATAATATCATCGTATGCCAACAGATCCCCCAGCACATCTACGGACGACTCGGCCGAATCACAAATCATTTTGGTCATGTGCAACCATCCTTCCAAATGCGATCGCAAATGATCGGCATCATCCTGAAGATATTGAGTCCGCAGTGCAACATTGGAATCATCGAGTAGATTGTGGTGATAATAGTGCATTCGATTGTTCTCATGCGTAATGGCCGGTACGGCATCTTTCATTTCATCTTGTAACATGGACAATCCCTGGCAGACGGCATTGAGGGGTCTTTGGACTTCTTGACTGACAAACATCATCAAGTGTCGTTTGATATCGAGGAGTCGTTGTTTGGCATTGAATTCGCGTCGAATGAGAAAATCGTAGGCACAAAACAGCGTGGCGACAAAGATGAAAATGAATGCCGATCCCAAGGCAAACAAGATGGGTTCGTTGGTAATGTAGTCCTTGGCCATGAATGTGGAGGGATAGACGGTGATGGTAAAGGGACAAAAGTTGTCATTCATGGGTAATCCGGTGTATTTCCCCTTGTTGCGTTCGATGAGTGTGGCCAAGGGAGAGGATCTGGCATAGCGGTCGAATTTTGGTTCGTGCAAATCACCAAATCCCAAAAAGACTGGCTGTGCTCCATTGATTTGATACGTAAAGCTTTGCCCTCCTCGACAGGGGTTTTGTACGACCAGAATGAGTCCTTTGGATTGACTGGGGAGTATATCCTTGAGCGAGTGTCTCCAGTAAAAGGAGAATGCTACTGTTCCCAACGCCGAGATGTTGTTGTGTGGATCCGCAAAGACAACATCGTCCAACGCGGGTAGCACGGGGTAGTACAAATCACTGAATGGCTCATTGGAATCATCGTCCTGTGACAGATAGAGACTACCCCAATCGGATGTGACACGGGCCTGTGCCACGGCGACGGGATCATTGGGATCGGCATTGTTGGCCACCGGAGTTACGACGGCACATTTGGTGTGCATGCAATGGGTAAGTCCCTCTCCAAATGCCGGATACGCCAATGCGTTCCAGTTGTAGGGGTAATAGTAGGGAATCACGGGACTTCCCATCCACGACGGTAGAAAGGGTCCAGTGGCATTATCGGGTTCGGGTCCTTCATTTCTCCAAACGGTATAACTTTTGGTGTAATTGTCGAGAATGGGCCCATGAAAATTGGGATCCTTGGCTTGTACTTGGAGTGCTTCCTCGACCCAGCCGTCATTGTGTTGTGTAAAATTCTCCCATGTCTTTCGATCTTCTGGAGTCGCAATCAGCGGATAGAACGTCATGTAAATGGAATTGGTTTGACTCATCAATTTGGCCGCTTGGACCGCCAGTCCAGGAATGGTAATCATGGGCCACGTGGCATCGCTCAGTGCGGCTTGGTACATGATGCGATACATGTACAGCTCGGCTGCCGCCAGCGTCATGGCAAAATTGCGTCCCACACTTGACAGCAATTTGGTCGCATCACTCTCCAGTTGTGTCTCGAATTCATTCTGTTCTGTTTCCGATTGGAGCAAGTAGACCAAACTGGCAATGCTGACGGTAGAACACAACAAGACAATCCCCAACATCCATCGGAGGCAGTGCACGGCAGATGCTTGTCGTCGCCTTCTTCGCTTGGTATCACTGCTGTTGGAACCAGCCACCGAGTGGGACACATCATTGTCATTCTCCAAGGGAGTGCTGCTGCCGTTGTTGTTGTTGTTTGCATCCACAGTCGCATCTGCCGTCTGTTGGGAGGGTTGTCTCATCATCATGGTGCAATTCCCCTTATCTTGTGCGGTGATTGCTGGCCACTCCATTATTTTATCGCGGCAAACAAACCTTTTGTTCCTCTTTGCATTGGCTGGGACTGGATAATATATATTGGTGCAATTGAGAGGGAGACAGCTGTTCGTGTTCGTCCATTTGGCAAAGCCGCCTTTCCATGGAGGCAAAGCAGCAGCTGAGGTGACGTTGCTGCTTGAAGTGCACTTTGTCTTTAATTCCTTGGAAAAAAGACACGCGACAAAAGTCATTCAAAGCTTAGGGTCACGTCTAAAATGTCCAAGGAGTCTTCTGCGACACGCACATTTCCACCGAAGTAGAAACCTTGTTATTAAAATACACCATCAGCAAAGCTGTCAAATCAAGGATCCAGTCAAGGATCTGCAAAGATCTTCTGGATGGTTGGCGTCGGAAGACTGAAGATCCGTCAGATCTCAACCCGAGCACCATCTCATTCCTCTATTTATTTCACGACGATCGACGATGAGGGCAAGGCTATTACTACTTCTTCTTTGCTTCCTACCTTCGCTCATTGCTTCCCGTGATGATTCTCATGACAGCAGCAGCGACAGCGATGATGATGAAGCGTGTCCAAGCCTTCCTCTCTCCGATCATCTTTTGGAATTCTACATTGGAGGAAAGTGGGTCGCTCCCACGCCATTGACTGCTGCTGCTGATGATGAAACTACTACTACTACCAACTCTTCCTCATTTCAAACCATGAATGTGATCAATCCCTCCACCGAAGAATCCATTGCCACGATTGCCTTGGGATCCCTCGCCGATACCAACGCGGCCGTCCAAGCGGCCCGCGATGCCCTTTCCACATGGTCGCAGCAAACATCCATTCCCGAACGAATTGCCTTGGTCGAACAACTCTTGCACATTTACGACCAACGACAAGAAGAAATGGCGCAGCTCATCTCTGCTGAAATGGGGGCACCCTTGGATTTTGCACGAGAAGCACAAGTAGGATCGGGTCTCTATCATATCGAGCAATTCCTCCAAGCCATGGAATACTTTGAACCCGAAAAACTCTTGCCGGGGGTAATTATGCATGACAATGACAATGAGAATAATCCCACCACGCTCATTTTTCAAGAACCCGTTGGTGTGGTGGCACTCATTACCCCCTGGAATTGGCCCATGAATCAAGTCACACTCAAAGTCATTCCGGCCCTGTTGGTGGGATGCACTTGTATCCTCAAACCTTCCGAAGTGGCTCCCCTCTCGTCCTTGCTCTTTGCCGAAATGATCCATCAAGCAGGATTCCCACCCGGTGTCTTTAATTTGGTCAATGGCGACGGGGTCGGTGTCGGGACACAGCTCAGTTCCCATATGCACGTTGATATGATTTCCTTTACCGGATCCACACGAGCGGGAAAACTCATTTCGCAAGCGGCCGCACTGAGCAATCTCAAAAAAACAAGTCTCGAATTGGGTGGCAAGGGAGCCAACATAATCTTTGCCGATATTGTTGATGATGGCTTGCAAGACATTGTCAAAGCGGGTGTCTGGAGTTGCTTTGATAATTCCGGTCAAAGTTGCAACGCTCCGACGCGCATGTTGGTGGAACGAAGCATTTACGACACTGCCATTCAAATTGCCAATGATACGATTCATGGAGACGATATCGTCTTTCGGCCCGCGCACCACGAAGGTGACTTTTACGGTCCCGTTTCCAGTCGGGTGCAATACGAACGAGTTCAACGATACATTCAGCTTGGCATGGACGAAGGAGCCACCTTGGTGGCGGGTGGATTGGGACGGCCGGACGGTGTGACACGAGGGTATTTTGTGCGACCCACCATTTTTGCCGACGTCACACCGGACATGACAATTATGCAGGAGGAAATCTTTGGACCCGTCTTGTCCATCATGCCATTTGATACGGAAGAGGAGGCGCTGGAGATTGCCAATGGCACGCCGTACGGACTGTCCAATTACTTTTACACACGAGATAAAAGTCGAAGACGGAGACTGGCCAAATCTCTCAAATCTGGCATGGTGGAGATCAACGGCATAGGTGCCGATGAAGGTGCCCCGTTTGCAGCAGTCAGGGCCAGTGGCAATGGACGAGAAGGGGGTCTATATGGTCTGGAAGACTTTTGTGTCATCAAAGTGGTTTCGGGTATGTAGTGGGACTACCAGATGCACTACCGTTTGATGGCATGCGCACACTTTTTTGAATCATTCATTCACTTGCAACCCTCAGTTTTGGAGATCGAGTGTAAAGATGTGATAGACCCCCAGTATCACGAGACCACACCATCATCCAACTTCTATATCAGCCAAACAGGAAACACATTTGGAGATAGATAGCCACAAGCTGGATGTAGTGATCTACCGGTATCTTGTCATCTTACAGTAACTTTTCTCAGTAGTAGATTGTTGGATTCAACGTTATTGTTTATTCTCGTACATCATGGACTCAAACTTGCGGTCCCATTCCTCGAGTTCATTGACAAACTCCTTATCCAGGGCCTCCAGAGTAGCACTGGGGCTTTGACTGTTATTCCTGGTAGTGCGATCCAAACTTTGCTCCACCACAATGTCCACATCTGGATGGCTTTCCCGAAATGCTCGGTCCCAATCATCAAAGTCAGGTCCTATCCGCAGCTCCAATGTCCTTGGCGGCGCCGAAACAGAAGGCGGTAATAATGGCTCTGCAACGGCAACTTCTGTCGTTGCGTTATTCACAGCTTTTTCGTCTTGTCCATTTTCCTCTTGTTGAGTGGCATCATTATTGTTGTTATTATTGTTGTTGTTCATTTTGGACACTGTTTCTTCAATGTCACCCTTTTGATAGGATGCCTTGCCTGTAAAAGCAATGATAGCCGCTGACAGTGACCGTTTGGCCAAATCTCCCAGTTCCTCAGCTGAAAAGGCTGCCATGAACCGTTCATCCAGTGCTTGAGCTAATACTTCCAACAGTTTCCCTCCCAACCGTGCTTCGATCGTTGTATTCAACATTTCCAACAATACTGTAATGGGCAACAATTTGGCCAAGGGCGTGACGGATGCTCCCAATGTGAGCATGACGCGGAGCAGTAGTATGATATCCTGTAGATTGTAGTCTGCCGTGGAAGCTCTCCGTACAACCTCCTTGGCAATATCTCCAAATTGATAGTCGGATTTTCCTGTAAAGCCCAGCACCATGTCCCTGGCTTTGGATTGTACGACGGAGGTTCCCTCCTTGGCCTGTGTGTCCATCCATTGGAAGACGTCGCGACTCTTGTTGGACACCAAGCCCAGAGTTTTCTGTCCAGCCGACGTGAGTCGTCCAGACCCTTGTTGTGCCGTGGCTGCAATGCCCCCCGTCAGATTGGACACCCCCGACCAAGCCGCTCCGACAGTGTTGCGACCCTTGGATGCCATTTCGGTGGACAGCCCGCCCACCATTTGAGCGGCATTTTTGGCGGATGTGACACTGGCATCTGCCGTGGATTGGAGTGTGTCTCGTCCTTGTTGTGCCAATTCTCTAGCCACGTCGACCAATGAACTTTGAGGTTGTTGTTGTTGTTGTTGTTGTTGTGGCGGAGCTTGCTCTTGCATTTCCTGGTCATTGCTACTATCTGGTCGCCAGGCTTCATGGAGTCTCAGCAATCGACGATCGAGGCAGTTTGTATTAGTAGATGGTGGCGAAAAGGCAGTGGCCATCCTAATGATGGCCAAGAAGTTGGATGCCAGGGCAAGTGATGAAAGGTGGATTGAAAGCTTCATTTGCTTCTTTCTGGCCGTGTTTCTTCTTCGATTGGTCTCTTTATGGAGGTTGTCTTTGGGAGCTTCGAAGTATGTATTCTCTGGTAAGTATGCTCTGTGAGATGGGGCTACCGGTACCACACGCTCGATCCTTTGCTTGTCCTTGCTTGTCCTTCTTGCCGCTTGCTCTTGTGGGTTGTGGGATGTTGGTTGCATGTCCTCATGTCCTTTCTTGTCCCTCTTGAGGCTTGTTGTTGCCGTGATGAACACCAAAAATGAAGATGACGTCAGTCTTGAGAAAAGAAAAAGACACGAGGATGGCCTGCGCGTGGGATTTCCAAAGTCGAGGGAAGGGTTCCTCGGGCTGTCCCAATCTGCTTCTTGTGAGCCACAAACTCACAATGAGCAAGACTTTATGTTACGCAACCACCAAACAAACAGATAGATGTGGAAATTCCGACCCCAAGCATTCCGCGATGGCTACTATGGCAAGAGCACCAAGCTTTTGGAACTATACCAGAACGACAATCTTCGAGCGAGTTCTCACACCGGCGGTGAAGACCCCGTCAGTGTCCCACCCCGAGCCCACCAAACATCGTTACGGACCTGCCAATGGAATGTCCACTTCTTTTGCAATTACATGAACGAGGAGCCTCATTCGCCCGAAGAGATGGCCACCGCCATTGTCAACACGCTGTTGACGTTGGACGTCGATATTATCGTCCTCAACGAGTTTGGCATGGCACGAGCCAGCACCAAGGAAGAAGGACGAGAACGCGCCAAAGAATTGTTGGAGGCCGCAGGGTATGAATTGCATGTTGCGGATTGCTATTGTCCGACTGTCATTGCCACGAGACTACCAGTATTGCAGCATTACAAGCTACAGTTGGATATCATGCGGGATGCCGTTGCCGTACAAGTGACACTCAAGAGCAACAACAACAACAATGACTGCTTGGATACTAGCATGGCAGGCATATCCAGTCACCACGATGATGGTAGTATTGCAACGTCGTCGTCCGCAGCAACCATGACAGATCACAGCACCCGCAGTATGGCGAGTACCAGTGAGGACGACTCTACTACGACAACCGATCCAGCCAGCACGGAGGAAAGAGATCTTCAGGGTTGTTCGTCCAGTGGACGCGGAACTCGAAGCCGTCGCAGTAGTCAACGCCAAAAGCGACGCAGCTGCCACCAGAATCACCATGATGAAGATCACGTCTTTTGGATCTATGGGACCCATTTGCAAGACAGCGAAGATGATGGGGGGCAATATCGCTTGGGTGAAATAAAGACGCTCGTGGAAGACATTGGATTCGATACCCCCAATGTCATGGTCACGGGATGTTTCAATCAACAACGGCGAGTGGACTACACCCGAGACGAATGGCAAATGATTGTTGACAACAAGCAACGCCGCCAGTCACCCGTAAATGATGGCGTCGCATACCTCTTGCGCGCCTTTGGATATCGCTGCATATGGGATCGACCCTTCCCGGCCAAAACAAACTGGATGACCCCTCTGGATCCACCCCCGTCAACGCACTGGTCCGGTACCATTGTCGATTACACGTTTTACAAGGATCAGAGACTACTGCTTTCGGGTGTCTATGTCAGTCCTAGCAATCTATCCGATCACAGACTCATTGTATCTGACTGGGAACTGTTGCGAAAGGATTGTGGATTGAACGCCAATGAAGATCGTTCTGGGCCGCTCCTCGCCGTTTGGAACATTGCTAGACGGATTGTGTTGGGTGACTAGCTAGAAGAAGATTGTGTGGATGGACATCCAAACGGTATGAAAGGCTGCTACTAAGTCTGCCTGATTTACGTATAGAATAGATGAGCAGTCACCAGTACGACTGTACAGATAAATCATTTCGCTCTTGACCAGTTACAGCAACACAACCAGCAATTGCATAATCTAGCTAAGAATTTGAGTAGTTGAACTTGTAAAGAGCCCAGTAACTCAGGATGCGAGTAAGCAACAAATATCCCAGGAGGACACCAAGATCCAACCAGAAATTGTCAATAGTGAACCGGCCACCAAAGTAAAATTCCACATACGCATCCATTGTTCCATTGCAAGTCTGGATAACTGGTGGATTATCCGCCAGGCTGCAGTTTCGGTGAAAGAAGAAGGGGCTCTCGTATTGAGGAAGAACTGGAACCTCGATTTCGTTGAACTGGGTAATGACCATTCCCTCGAATGCAAAACGACCGGGGGCCGTCCATAAGCCCATCTGAAAGGGTCCATTGAAGTACTGAGGCTTCACGATCAGACCCGAAAAGAACACGTTGTAGCCGATCAAGGCCCCCATCAATGCACCTGCAGTGGGGGTATCCTTGACAAGGCAAATGAAGGCTTGGCCGAAATATGCATAATTGGCAACGTTCAGTGTGAAGAAGAGGAAGAAATACCAGAATCTCTCTGTCGTTGAAGTTCGATAGAAGAACGTAGTGAGTCGTCGGCTCCGTCCTGCTCACGCAACTCCTCCAGGACGGAAACTTACCGGCAGAACTGAACAGGCCAACAGTTGCATAGTAAATCGCACCAAATAGAACTGAGATGAGCAAAATATAAGGAATCTCCCCAAAGAATAAGGCCGTGCTTAGTGCTTTGTGCGTCAGCATCCCCGATGCACGGTGCTTGTAGAAAACATCACGCAGTGTCTTGGTAACGGGGACTGCCATACTGATCACTGTCACCCCAATCACAATCAGGCTGAAGAACATGGTCGAGATGACTGCATCGACTTCATTCTCCCTCCAAAAGTCGCGTCTCCCTTCACCTCTTAGAAACACGGATCCGATGATGAATGCATACACAATCGAAATCATGAGACGTGCAAGGTTGTACGAAGGAGATCGTTTGTAAATTGTCACCATTCTTCGATTCATCATGTGGACGCGTTCTTTTGCCGTTGTTGGGTAGTCATTTTCGAAGCTCAGCTTTTTCGATTCGTCTGGTGATTCCTTCGCCGCTTCAATCCTTTCGAACAGTTCGCTGTATTGTTTGGACGCCTTGAATTCTTCTGGCCAGTCCTTTTCAGCTGCAGCGCCAGAGGTTTGCGCACTGAGCATCCAGGCAGCTGGATTCTCCCCAAACTCGATAGGGTCCCCTCCTCGGCTTTCAAAGTAATCGATCAGGCGAACAGAGTCCGGTCCGAGCTCGCCAAAGAAGACCGTGTTGCCTCCTTTAGTTAGAAGCAACAGATCATCAAACATTTGAAAGACAGCCTTGAAACAGAAAGGAGAATGTCAGCATTCGAAGCATTCAACTAGAATAAAAAGCATTCGATAACAACTATACGTACTCCGCTTGGTTGATGCACAGTACTGCAAACGGTGCGTCCTTGATCTGCAATGCGCTTCATCGCTCTCATCACAACTAGAGCCCCACGACTATCGAGCCCACTGCGAGGATTCGAACACGTTGTCATGTTAGAAGAAAGACTACCACAGGAAGGCAACCGTTCGATTCAGAAGGGAACTCACGAAGTAGGTTCGTCCAAAAATATGACTGGAGCAAAAGGGTACCAAACGAAACAGAGCAGAAAGTGAGCAATCAGAGTGCATTGAAACTCAAAAGAGCACAGCAACCGTGAACACACCTGCAGGGGATCCTAAAGAAAGAGTCACGCGGAAGACAAGGGAAATCGGAAAGTCGTTAGTCAGACTGACTCCTGCACAGAGCTTTCCCGCTGCACTACCTTACCTGCCAGTTCACAAGCAATCGCCAGACGCTTCCTTTGTTCAAAAGTAAGGCCTCCCTCCTCGTAGCTTCCCACCTGTAAGGTTTGTATATTAGTCAGTTCCATCGTTTTGAGCACATTGCTAGCGAACCTTAGCTTCCCGGCATCATCCTTGATTCCCGGGTCGTCGGCATTCAGGCGCAACCTTGCGCAGAACTCCACAGTCTCTCGTACGGTTAGTTCTGGTTGCTGGATGTCGAACTGTCATCGCATGACGAAGCGAGTGTTAGACACAACAGCATGTAGGCGATGGAATCGAAGCACAAACATCCTTCCGCACTCACTTGCTCCACGTATCCAGACACACGTAGAAAGGACCTCCGCTCTTGTGGAAATCCGTTCAACATGACATCTCCCGTGATGGTACCAGAATCCTTTCGCATTGCGATGACATCCATCAGAGTAGTCTTCCTGCGTTCAAGCCAAACAGAAGAAACAACGGTCAGAAGTGCAACATGACGAGATCTGCTGTTCCCTTGCGACACGACCCACCCTGCACCACTGGAGAGATGGAGGAAAAAGCGATATGTGAGCGGCATGCTGCCGTAATGATGGCGTTGTGACGGGCGTGACATGCGATTTTCTGGCCTTGCCTGCTGCCCATGAGAGCTACCATTCGACCAGCAGCGAAGATACCTGATACCTCATTTAACAGCTTCAAGGTCTCGTCTCCTGTAGAAGCTTTGACTTCGTACACCATCTTCTCAAAGGTCAAGTCCACGGGAATGAACGGCAGGTTAAAATCTTCTTCGTCGTCTTGCTGGGCTTTTCCAATGGTGATCTTCTTCCCTTTCACGCTGTTTATTTCTGGCTCGATGCGTATGTGGTTCATTACCACCCCAAGCACGAGGCCGGCAAAGAAGGTGAACGGAATCAGATAGGCAAACGGATAATAGATCCATTGTGTACCAACTTTGAAACCACGGACTTCCAGAAACTGTTCACCGCCTCCAGGAATATCCTTGTACTTGTCTGACATGAATTCGTTTGACACCAGACCTTGCAAAGCCTAAAGAGCGACAAAGAGAAGACGAAAGGAGATTAGGATGAAACATGGCTGGTTGATTTCAACGAGTGGCTGGGTTCCAGAGCTTCCACCCAAATCATGGATGCCGGCCTACTCACCCACGCCATTGGGTTCGTCCAGATGATCCAGTCGTAGAAAGGCGGCATGACATTCGGATACACAATGAACCCACCGAACAACACCATGAGAAGAACCAAGGAGGTCCCCACCCCTTGAACGTTTCTTAAAATGAAAAAATGGGATGGTTCATAAAATTGCTGTTGTCGTAGATCGAGTATTGCCATAGCGAGTCAAACATTCACTTACGCCTTCTTGGGGAGCGTTTGCGCCAAAATGCTAAACATCAACTTCAATCCAATCGTGTAGATGATGAGAATTGCCAAGTAAACAAAAAAACCTCGAGCAGTGGGGTCCAAACCGACCATCCAGTACAGGGGAATTCCAAATGAGACAATTTCGATAGTTCGCTGTGGAAATGTCGAAAAAAGGCGCCCAAACACAAAAGCAAATGTCTGATAGAACTTTGCATCGTGGTGTTTGTAATGGATGGAACGGCCGTCTACTTCATCTGGGGCCGCAGTCATTGTTCCTGACAAGGCAAGGCCAAAGCACAAACATTGTCAGTCAGAGCGATGCATCTTCAAACAGCGTGCAACGGCCAGGTTGATCTGCAATGAGTTATCTTACCAAGGAGAATGTGAAACGTTGTCATGAACAATGCTCCATAGATACCAGCCACGAGCTTGTACTGCTTGTCTGCCGTTTCCGCTGGATCTCGAAACTCTATGTCGGGCAACCTAGCTTGTCCAAAGAGAATCCCCCCTGTCGCAACGGCCATACCAATGTTTTCAAACATCTTTCCAATGATGAACCCATAGTCACGTTTCCAAAGAGTCAGGTGCCGCTTAAAATTCAGTGACATGGCACGTACAAAGGAGTTCTGGTAGAGAACTCTGAATTGTTTGGGGACTTCTTTCTTGGCAGTTGTGCCCTCTTCTTCGTCGCCGCCCCTCTTGGATTTTCCTCTCGACACAGGCATCCACTGATTGGGTGTCTTGCTATTGTCGAGTTTGTCTTTAATTCGTTGGTATTGCTTACTGTCTTTGAAAGCATTGGAGAACTGTTCTGTCGTGTAGTGCTTGGAAAGCGGACTGCGTTCCGCATTAAAGTACAGAGCTCCATCCGGAGTGGGAATGGATTGAATGTAGTCCGCCACATCCATGGTTGCAGGTTGTTCGTATCCCAATGCTTCAAAGTAATCGACGACCTCTTCAATCTTCCCAGCAAACACAATCTTACCCTCTGCCAACAAGACAATCTCATCAAAAAGACAAACCGTTTCGGGTCCTGGCTGCAGTAGTGAAATAATGCGAGTGGTCATGGCCTTTTTGGAAAAGGCGACAATGGAATGCACAATGTCGTGCGTGACTGCGGCGTCCAATCCTGTACTAATTTCGTCGCCACATGCGACGGGATTCTGGCCCTGCATCATTTCCCCGACAGTCACTCGACGACGTTGTCCACCAGAGACACCACGAACATCGTCATTTCCAACTGGTGACCAACAAGTCAGTGGTGGGTGAGCAATTCATTAAAACTGATCAAGGCGATGACACATCACGACATCGATCGACATTATCATCACGACAATCTTACCAAACGTATCGGCAACGTGTGCCAGATCGAGTCCTTCAATCGTTAGGTTTTCGGTAAACTTTTCCTTGTCGAGATCGGCCACGACATTATCGGATTTGACACCCAAGTTCGAGTGAGTTCCACCGGTTCGACATTGAAAGGCAAAGTCAAACGTTTCCTTGACAGTCAGATAAGGAGCATGGTTGTCGAGTTGTCCCACAAAGGACACCAGGTTGGGTAGGATCATTTCTGGTTCATCTTCCTTGGTAACGCCATTGAATTCGATCCGTCCGTCGATGTGTGGTTGGTTCTTCACGGGATTCCCCTGCAGATCCCTCCCGTAGGGTAGCAATCCAGCAATGGCTTTGAGTAAGGTAGTCTTTCCTCCTCCTGGCGGTGCCAAAATGAGGTATGTTTTCCCAGGTTCAAAGCACAGGGTGATATCATCGAGAATGGACTTTTTGTCAAAGGGCAGGAACAACTCGCCAGGAGTCTCGGCCTCCCAGCCTTGGGGAGAGCCAGGAGGTGCATTGTTTTGTTTTCGTTGGCAGTAAAAGTGTACTCGTCGAAAGAACTCGTAGACGACGTAGACAGCACTCTGATTCAAGACAGTCTTGATACTGGGAGCATCCATCTTGACCGGAACATGGTAGCAATAATTGCGCAAATTGACCTGCACATGACGATCCATCCCCACATGAGCCTGGAACTTGGTGTAGCCATCACCGATATCGAAAAAACCAGATTCTCGACGGCGCATCTGAGGGCGTTCATCACTATCATCACCACCACCAGTGGCCTGCAGGTTGTGGTTTTGTTCTTCCTGAGGAACTGCCTGAAAGTCTTTATATACGGGCGGCTCGGCGTTTTCCTCATCGTCATCTTCTTCGCCTTCGTCAATTTTGGGTTGCTGAGGCACACGATGAACGGCCTGGGATTCCTTCTTTTCCAGCAGAGCCTGAAAATGAGACCGACGACGCTGCTGGGGTGCTCCATTGGCCGCTCGTGGTTCCGCAATGGTCGGCGTCACGGCAGCGGCTGCTTTGGCTGCTTCTTCTGCTTCTGCTGCCGTCAGTGTCGTCGACGAGACAATGCTGTTGAACACAAGGTTCGGCCGAACCTCTACCGATTCATCCTCCACATGATTGTCCTCTTTGACTTCTTCTTCTGTCATGGTGGCTACTGTATACCCTTGCTATTGCTATCTTCTAAATTTTCGGGAATAGGACGGACTGTGTTGGTATGGAAATAATGAGGGTTCTGGATGCGAAGCCCACGTAAATTACGGATCTTGTAAAGGAAAGCCAGACCAATAACTGGTGTCAAGGAAGCCTGACCTGACCAAAAATAAGTGATGTCAGGGTCAGCCAGCGAAGCGACCAAACGCGGCAAGGGGCTCGCAGTCGGATGGGAAACTGAACCTGCGAATCCAATCCAGCAGCCACCACCTACCGGTACAGTGTACCTCCCTGCTACCGGCTGAATGATCGAATGGAATCAAATCATACGGGTACATTCCATCTAAAATTAAACTGCAGGTACGTGCAATCCTTCTGGGTGGGTAGCTAGCTAGACCTCCACCGTTGCCTGGAATTCATCGTCAAAGCTGTCACTTCGCCCAGGCAAAGAGCCACGCAAACCTTGGTTGGTTGATTCGCCAATCGAAGACATGGTCGCTGAAGATAGAACCATCGATTCACCACTTGAGATGATACTTGTGCGAGGAGGAGCCATAATCACAAAGTAGGTCTGCATTTCTCCCTTGCCCTTGGCAGTGATCTTTTCATCACGTGGTTGTAGCCAGCTTGCCTTGCCAGCTTTGGTCAGTTCATTAGCGGTTGCTTCGGAGACATGGATCATTCCTGGCTTCCCATGGCTTTCCATTCGAGCAGCAGTGTTCACACTATCACCAAACAGCTGGAAGCGGCCCTTCTCACCACGCAAAACGCCAGCCTGACGAAGACACAGAGAGAAGACACAAGGAGTGAGTATTCCTGCTCATGCTCTGTGCGGAACACAACATCAGTGAATGTACTTGTACTCACTGTGACTGGACCACTGCATTACATAGGTAGGGATATGTACAGCAAGCTCCTAGTTAGAAGATGACATCTTGTATGCAGCGTCTGCAACCATTTCATCGTACCTGTGAATCCCAACTCTCATATCCAATTCACGAGTGTCAACACCCAAGGTCTCCACTAGGTCTTCGAGGACTTGTCTCATCCTCGTCATACAATCTCGAGCAAACTTCACCAAGATCACAGCATGTTCAGCTTGAGGATTGGGAAGGCCTGCAGGGCAAGAAAGAATGCCGAGTTAGAGAGCACCTGCTCCATGTTTGCTACACGATAACTCCTGTCATTTGATGCAACCAACTAACTCACCGGTCACAGCAACGTAACAATCTCCAATAGTCTCGACTTTGAACACTCGACGGCGTTTGGCAATCTATGCAAGATACAATATGAGTCATTCAGCAACAAGAAGAATCACATATACAAAAACATGGCAATCACAGAAGTGCCACATCGCTGTTACTTACAGCATCGAATGCTCCATAGAGAGCTTCCAATAGTTCAAATACTTCAATTGGAGTCCTCGAGCTACTCCACTTGGTAAAGCCGACAATGTCTGCAAAGAACACAGAAGTTTCTTCAAACAAGTCTGCGATTGGTTTTCCAGATGCTGGGGACATTGCTGAAGGATCTTCAGAAGCATTGTCAGATATGGCTCCCATTGCTGCCACAGAGGACAACATGTTGTTCTTGGTCTTGGCCTGCTCAGGAGCTGGTCGGTGCTCTTCATAAAGCTGGTCCCGCACTCCTTCCGGGAAGAGAGAATTCACAATAGCACCAGATGCCAGTGCTCGGTTCTGGATGATGTGCTGCCGGCGAGCCACATACATGTCATACAGCAAGAACACAGCTGATGTAAAAAGGAAAATAAGGAACGCACCAACCGCCAACATAGTGGGATCTGAGGTAACATATCGATCCTGCATTTCTTGTGAGGGGTAAATGGTCACTTCATACACACATGCCTTTGTGTCCAATGGAAGTCCTGTGTACATGGAGGAACCTTTGCCTTTGTTTTCCTTGGAGAGATCAGGGAGCAGGGCAGAACGTCCCATGTGGTTGTACTTTGCTTCATGATGGTCCCCAGAACCAAGAAAGGTTGTTTCAGCGCCATCGATCCGGTAAGAGAAGACTTGGTCATAGGTATTTTTGAAAACAATGATGATGCCCTTTGAATTGGGGGGGAGAATGTCTCGAATGAGATCCCTGACGTAACCAAGGAGGAACAAGAGACCAACCGGTGGGCCCAAGTCAGGGTTTTCCAAGTCAATCTGAACCTTGTCGACAGTGTTTAGCATGGGGAAAATCAACTCAATGATGGGTTCTGATGGGTCTTCATCTGGTGAAATATAGCTTTTAGCCCAGTCATTGGTCAAATCAGCAAACTGCACTTGTTGTTCATCACTTGGATCATCAACTAGATTGGACACTTCAGCCATGGTAATTGTCTTTGTTTCCCTTGCATGTACAATGTTTCTGCGATAAACAGGATTAGTGTCGGCAACCCAGTTGAATGGGGGGATATATGGTGTAGGACTAGAAGGATAATGCTGCCAAATTACCGAATAGGGATCAGTTGTATCATTGTAGGGAATTGTGTTAACCATCCAATCAAACAGCTGGTAAGAGGTGATGAAATCCTCCACAATGGGACCATGGTAGTTGGGGTCATCGACTTGAACTTGGTGAATGTTCTCTTCAAGCCAATAGTGGTTGTTGGGATCGGCTGTGTAGTTTTCCCAGGCTAGACGTTGATCGTTCTTCACCGAAGCATATGATCCAAGGTAGAAGAAAACAGAAGTGCTCAATACCTTTGCTGCCTGGACACCAAAATCGGGAACAGTCACAAAAGGGAATTCGCTTTTGGAGCTCTTGGCATGAGACACCATCTTGTACACAAAAGCGTCGACCGACCCCAGTGTGAGGTCAAGGTGCTGTCCCAGGGATTCCATAAGCTTGAAAACATCACTATCAAACTGAGACTCAAACTCCTCCTGTTCCTTCCCAGAGGTGTAGAGATACAGTACGACGGAAACCACAACAGCAGAGACCACCAAAACTGCCAAGAGAACCAAACGCAAGCAGGTCACAGCCTTCTTTTCCTTCTCGGCCATCTTTTCTCGTTCATTGGATGTCGGCACAACATGATCTCTGCCACCACCGGTGGTGCTATCGGCGTCGTCGTGAGCTTCGCTGGGCATTGTCTCTTTCTCTATCCTATCTGGAGGTTTTGTTTTCGGCTCTCGGGTCTTTTTTGTTTGAAAGCCAAAGGATGGCCCCACCGGCACATTTCCTCTGGGGTCATCATGGAAGATGCGGGCAAGAGGAAAGGACATACCGGTACTCGTACCGGTACGCTTGGTCGTCTCGAGAATGACTTGATTGACAGTGAGATGCAGATCATGGACTTTTGATGACTGCTTATGGTAGAATGCATTTATATGAATTGCCCCTGTATGTCCAAGCTAATGAACTTCAAGTAAAGAGGAAAGGGGAGGGTTTAAAGAAGCTGTTTTCGAGTCTTTTAGAGTTTCCCACAATACAGCTGCACCAACGCAGCATCACAGATCATGACCGCATGGTTTATGGTTCAATGACTGGGCTCATCACTTTTTCCTCCATCATTGCAAGTGGTACCGGTAGCTATTAATAGGCTAGCTAGCTGTAGCCTCCCGAACCGCTATCCTAGCTAGGCTTCCAAATGAAAGATGATGCGGAAGATTTCGGCTGTAACCTGCTAGATTTTCCCTCCATTCCAGTGATGATGAGTTACCAGCAACCGGAACAGCTAGACCAGACCTTTGATGTAGGTACAGGCCTAAGATTTGCTCAACTTGACTTTGATTTGTGCCAGACAAAGAAGATGGCAAAGATCAGGTCTAGTATTGCTAAAGAATACGGCATTGAACTAGACAGTCTAGACCTCACTAGACCTCACAAAAGGCCCCGCTTAGTCGAGGAAAAACCTCGCCAACAATTTGGCGTACATACTGATGACCGCGCCACAATCTCCAGTCCCTGTCCGGGCCAAGTCCCTCTACAAACAAACGATATCCTTGGCATACTCTTCGCCTCTTCTCGTTGCTGTTGACCAAACGAAGGCAATCGAATCGACATGAGTAACACAATTCTATTGTTGCTGTTAGTGCTGGGTCGACTCATCGTACTACTGAGTTCCATTGCTCACAGCGCCACCAATTTTCCCAACCTTCGCCTAGTTGCGTTCCCGTGGGGTCCGGTTGAAGCAGCCATGTTTGGTATCCGCCCTATCCAAATTGTACGCCTCAGCTACCATGTAGCGATTCATGGAGTAGCACTCTTCCAAGTTCACTTCACTTACGCGGTCGAAGCGTTCTGGCTTGACGAAGTAAAGAGATGCACCAGACTTTTCCAAATAGTCCACATCAACCTCCACAAGTTGCATAGCGCTCCACCAATTTTGAAGCAAAAAGTAGTCCTTGTTCTCACTTGCGCCGTGACGGCCACCCAACAGTACCATTGAATGTTTCCCCTCCACAGATTTCTTCTTCGCTGCATCTCTCTGTGTGGATGCGGCGACCTGGCCCGAGCTTCCGGGCCCGTCGTGGCTGCGTTGGTCGGTGGGGGGCACAGCAAAAAGCTTCTTTTTGGGGTCGCTTTGGCCTTCGAGATATTGCTCTAACTCAACTTCGACGTTGTCCTCGTCAAATTTCCCCCCGTCAAGTCGAACAAATTTTCCCTTTGCCCTTTCAATGTCCTTCCCAGTGAACTGGATGTAACCAATCTGATTGTCAGGGTTTCGTGTGCCACCGTTCTGAAAGTGCCTGCTCACTGAGAAGCTAGACACTAGTCTGGGACCGTACTTGCCCATTAATTCACGCAGCGAATTGTTGGCTTGGAGCATGACTTCAGGAGATCCATGTGCAAATTCTGGTGGTTCCCCCTATGTGACTTTGAGGACCGTCTCAAAAGTGCTGACCGAGTCACCACCATTGTCGAAGAGGACGTAATCATACAGTTCCTGATCTGTGAAGGTCCGACATATATACTTTTGGACATCAATGACCCCGAGGCCCAAACCATGCTTCTGGAGCAGGTAGGAATTGGAAAGCAATGGCCCATAAATGAAGCAGTTTCCGCGGGCCTGAGTCTGGGAGTACAGTGTGAGCTTTCGGGAAGAATCGTCAACGAGAAAGCTAAACGCACCCGGCTGCCCCAAGTAGCGCTCCAGCACCACTTTGGTATTGATGTACAATTGGCTTTTTTCCGCCGTGTCATCCCTGTCTCCGTCTTTTTTCACCAATGTGAGCAAGTTAGCTATCGCTTTCTTGCTCCGCAACAGTACCTCGACCTTATGGAGTCGTTCTTCTCTGTTTCCCCCCAAAAATCCACGGCCGTAGAGATGCACAAGTATCGTTGCCTCGTCGCTATAAACACCGGCCTTGGCTTTCAAGTGATTTCCAAGTCCATCTTTTTTAATTTCCTTTTCGGCCTTATTCAGTCCCAAGCTTTGGGCTCCCGTCTTGAATTTCATCGGGGGCTAGCGATGCCGTACTTGCTGTATTCGTTCTTCTCTGTCTCCTCGCTCCCCACTCGCGTCGGAGACGTCGTAGCGCTTGGTAAATATTCCTTGGGCTTTGCCTTCCCCCCTTTTTCCTTCCGGCGAAAGATATTCATCATCGTGCTTTTTACACCCCCTCGTGTGTCTGCGAGCTGCTGTTTGGCGAAACTACTATTAGAGTAGTGTCTATCGTACAGTATGCCGTGGTCGTCGTTGTTTCCATTATACATCGTAGACCAAAAAAATCCACCGTGGCACTGTGGTAAAAATCTATGACCGATTACGATAGACACGAGACAGGAACGAACATACTAGCTAGTATCTCACTGTATGATGTACAGTACTGGTATCATACAATTTTAGCAAAAAGTGACTGAACTAAGTAAGTTTACTCACAAACTGCCGAATCGCTAAAACACAGGCTTTACTCTGTGGTAACTTTTCGGTTGTTTGACTTTTTCATCCCCCTTGGGAATCATCAGTGCTTGGGCTATTGTGGTACTTATGAAATTGAGGTTTATGTCGGCATGCTCCGTATATTTCGTTGCAGGAGTTGATCAGCTTTTCTGGTGATTCTCTGGATCGTTTCAGTATCTCGAGTCGCTCCCTGTTGCATAGGCTGCAGTGTCGTGTCGCGAAGGTCTTGACAGTGCTGATGGGGTTGCCTTGCCATAGGATGCTAATTTCGATGCTGTTCCTTTGAATGTCGCCGTTAAGTCGGAATGGTGAAGGAGGTGCGAAGTTTTGGAATTCGTTGGCGAAGTGTCTTGCATATGAATCTGACTTGCGTTTCCCGTAGAGGAGACGCATGACATCGGTGAAGTGTTGGTATGTTCGTTCTTTAACGTTTCGTTGGGTTGCTCCAACGTATTCCTTGCCCGAGTTTATGCATTTGATGCAGTATAGTAGTAGTACTGGTACGAAGTTCGAACAAGCCGCGAGTCGAAAGATTTTTTTTCTCAAAACCCCATTCTTAACCATATTACCTTGCCTTTAAGAACATTCTGTTTTACTGCATCGTCGTGGCTTGCGATGGGGGATGCCACTCGCAGCCACACCTTGCGGGACAACAGTTTGCTCGACACGGGTTGGAAGAGACTGCTTCAAACCGAGTGCCCGAAAGACAAGCACGTTGCGGTCATGGCAATGCTGCTGAGAGGCTGCCTGGTTGCAATTGACTTGTGGACGGTTGGTTCCGTTCGATCACAAAAGCTGAGGCCTTTTACTGAGATTCCGAAGGTGCCAGTTACTGGAACAAGGCCAGGTCAACATCTGTGCTCTTTAAACCAACTGTTGACCTGGCAAAGTCGCACCGGGAGCACGGAGAGGGAGCTCCGGGACACGGATACAAAGCTCTATGACACGCAGACAAAGCTCCAGGAGGCAGAGTCTTGCAGCACTGAACGCATCCACCACCAACAAAGCTGGAGCTCTGGAACATGACGCATGAGGAAGGAATTCGGAGTCGGAACGAATGTATTTGCCAAATTTTGCCTTGGTTCACGATGGAAACTCCACGGCAGAGGTACAGAGGCATCCAATCGACAATCCACGAGTGAAGCTTGCCGGCACCTCTAATGGCGTACCGGTAGCCACAACATGCGCTACGTACCAATGATACGGTGTCTTGTCTTTGCCACACCGTGGAACCATTTCGCCAGAGTGCCCAACGAAACCAATGCGCTACCGTATCGCGAAGCAGCCTTCACCTTTGGCGGTCACTTATCGAGTATCGGCCAACTCCTCAGCAAAGACAAACCCAGGTCCACTAACGCGACACTCAGCAAATCGGCTACGTCCACAACTGACTACCTACCATGAGCGACTTTGCGTACTTTAGGCTCGAGGAGGAGCTTTGCTTGGCAATGAGAGGCGGAACAAGCGACAACTATGAATCTGCGATAAAGTTCCTCGACGACAGCGACGATCATAAGCAAGCCAAGAAACTGCTGCTTTCGTTCCACGATCGTCTGAGCCATGATCAAAGTGTCAACATCTTTCTCGCTCTCGGTCAAAAGTTACCCAACCTGCAATCCTTCACGTTCATGGGGGACTCTCACAGTGCCTTCTCGATTCGGGCATTGGGTGCGCTCTTGACACTTCGAGCGGAAGGACTGGTGAGCATCAAGTGTTTTGGTGGGCACACCTTGCTGACGGGAACCCTGGAGGATTTCAACTGTACTTTTGACCTCCTCTCCCGATGCACAAAGCTTCGAGAGGTTCTTTTTCATGCTCGCTTTGTGAATTTGGATGGAAATGCCTTCTTAGACAATGCCAAGATTGTCGACGAAGAAGAGCAATGGTTTTCAGACAACCTCGTCCGAGCCTTGAGCCAGATCGAGACGTTGGAAACACTCTCGTTGCATCTATGGAGCGCGCCCAAGTCGACGAAACGGTCTGCATTCGCGAAGTTGTTGGGAAGTAGAACCAGCCAAAAGAGGCTGTCGTCGTTGACCATTGAGGGGGGTGTCTCGACGTGGAAACTATCCCTCCCTTTTCTGCAAACCTTGTTTTCCAGGAACTCTCGCCTAGAAAAAGTTACAATGTTTGATTTCGAGAAAGTGAATCTCAGTGCGAGGAGCATTGCAAAGGCACTCCAAGGGAACCGAACGGTAAAGGACTTCTCACTGATAACGAGTCAACAAGACAGTTGGAAACGATTCACCGTTGGGTCTTTGGCGCGGATTCTAGAGGCGCTGAAGGATGATACAACCCTGGAGTGCCTGGCTCTCTCGATGAAATGGGAACCATGGCTCGCCGCTCGCCATGCACCTCTCCTCATTAGTGCAATTGAAGAAGCGAAGAATTTGAAAAAGCTTGAACTTTGCTTGACGGTGCTGGAAGAGCCAGACCAGTTGGGGGCTATTCTTCAGGGAGCCGCTCGGAGCAAGTCACTCGCCGAGGTCGTCCTCCGTGTGGAGGATAGCTGGCATGGAATAACAGTAGTGGGCAATCTTCGAAAGGCGGCTACAGATTATGAGATGGAAATGTTCGAGAATACGATGGAGACGAACCTGGCGCTGAAGAAGGTCGTAGTGCTAAGTGAGAACGGCGAGGAGGTGCCTCACAGCAGTTATCTGAGTAAGAAGGCTGCTTCGTATCTCAAAAGAAACGAAGAGAAGGGACACAAGGGATTCCATGACACAAAGACTTTCGGTACCAATGCTTACAGTCTTCTGCGGACCATGGTTGCATCAACGTTCCATGAAGCTGACAGCTCTGGCAGCAGCAGCCATCAGAAGAAGAGAAAGTTATGTGAGTAACTAGCTCTTCGCTCATGGAATGGCATTCAGGCGAGACTGGACATACCCCGCGTTTCCGATACGTATAAAGCAAGAACCTGGGAATCCTTTACAGGCAAGGTCCCGCGCCTTCAGGTTCTCTACTGTTTGTTTCATAGTTCAACCCTTGCTCGATTAGCTAGCTAATAACTAGCTACAAGCTACTAGTATCATAGGAGAGATTTGATTGTTCCCATTCAGCTGATGTGTTTTGGAGCTCCGATCCCCGTCATGGTTTTGCATGCAGGCTTCGCACCGTTCGTGAGTTTGCACCAGTTCGCTTCGAGTAGTTTCAATCGCATTTGAGGGACTTGACTCGACTCTGACTCCTGTCACTGGTCGTGGAATTCAGAAGGCTCATAGAAACAACAACCAACAGACCAACATTACCAAAAACAAAACAAGAAGAGACGATGAAAGGACCCTATACATTCAAGAAACCACACAACAGCAAGTATCTGGCTGTAGTCAATATCGATATTGCCAGACCTAGCCGCCGTGACACTTGGGGATTTTCGCTTTCCGTCGACCGCGACAGCTACTCCGCTCAGTTACGGGAACAAATGGCACCCAACGAGTTGCAAGAGTTTGCCGACGAAGCTGACAAGGCTCTCAAGGTGTCTAAACTCGCAGCAGGTGGTCTCCTGAGCAATTTGTTCTGTGTGTTGTCGTGCTGGACGTTTGGAGGAATGGTCAAGGTGCGAGTGGACGACGCCACCGATCGGGCTGTAGATGCGCTGTTTGGGGTAGCAAAGAAGTGGAATATCAAGTTTATGGCCGAAGATAGAAGCATCTTCATCCGAGTCAAGCACCTCAAGAGCGAGCTAAAGCGAAACAACAACAACATGAGAGCAAGTGGAACCATGAATGCTGCATTGGACAATGCCGAACGATTTTCCGACATTGAGGACGAGATATGGCTGGAGTTTGACATTGTCTAGTTGATTGGTGCAGGCTCTGTGCAGGTACACAAGCTGATTCGGCATTCAAAGCTGCATTGTAAACTAGGTAGAACTTTGCCAACCATCTCAGGTGCCCCATCCTCCACCCATTGGATTACATGCTTAGATTCCGAGTTGATGCACCAGCACGGGTACATTGAGCAATCTAGATTATGTTGCTACGCAGACTGCCGGTTGTGCTCATTTATTCTTCTTCCTCTCTTCAATACATGCTACCTATTTGTTCAAAAAGATTGTCACGGCAGTCAGAAGCGGTATCCCCAAAAAGACGTAGTTGCTCGCATCTGGCGCGACACCAATGTTCCATTTACGGATCCAGATGCAGTCCACCATGAAGAGCGTTTCCAATACCGCGGCCCGACCAATGGCATCCATGGCAGAAAGTTTCAATTGCAACGTCATGAGAATGAGAGCACCCCACCCTGCCATGAGAGCTGCATACCACACAAAGATGGATTTTCCCTTTTTGGAAACTACTCCGGCGTTGAATCCACCAATCTTTCGAGCCAACTCTTGATCGAACTGACTGATGGTGCCAATGGCGAGAGGAGGAAGGGCCATGACCTTGGCAAGGAGGACCGGGTCGGCCACCTTGGACGACAAGATGGCGTAAATGCAGGACACCCAAAACAGCGTATTAATGGGTCCATGCAAGTTGGATCCCGTCATTTTGTGTGTGATGCCCTTGAGCATGTTCTTGTAGGAGACATATGCCAGGGGCAGACTGGACAGAGCCACCATCTTGGGTACTGCCATGGAAAGTCCCTTGAATTTCAAAAAGTACACCAAGGAAGCGTACGACAACGAGATGGCTCCTAGATTTTCAAAGACGACATAGTCATCGGTGCCTTCAATCAAGGCAAAGTCCTTGGCAGACTCGGGTGCCGGAAAGCTGAGGGCACCGTTGAGAGCGTAGAATCCACAGAAAACCTTGATCATGTGTTGGGGCTTGACACTGGGTAGACCGCCTCCTCTTGGTACGTTCAGCGCACTGATCCCTGATACTGGCGACGGAGTCTTCAAAGCATCCACAAGAGGGGATACTACGAGAAAAAGAAGAAGATAGGAGGGATGGTGCAGCTTCATGGTGACTTCTCCAATTGTGATAATGTTGCCTCCAACTGCGCCTGGTCGTCGGTTCGGGACAAGATCGCGATCTTCGGTGTCAACTCAGCGCACCTTTTCTAGAGCTAGAGATACATGTAGTTTTTGTTAAGGAGGTATACCTACCTTTCAATCACGAGTAAGACTAACGATGGCTAATAACCCATTTTAACACGGTGGTATCCAGCGAAGCAATCATTATCTCACGATGATGCACAAGCGTAACTGGACTGACCAATGATGGGCCATAGTCAAGTAAAGATGGGCTGCCATTGGGCCCTCGACGTAACAAGCCATTTGGCTAGCTATCTGTGGCGGTGGTATCAAGGGAGGTGTCAAAATGGCGGATATCGATTGGGTGGAGGCTGGAGTATCCCGAATTTTCATGTCACCATGATGATACAGTCTATTATATCAAAGAAGAACCCTCCCTTGATACCATTACCACCGGTGTGTAGAGCGTACTCGAATTTCCCTACCAGCATATCGGCATTGTCATTGGACGTCATTGGATAACATTCTAGAGGGTCAAGAAGGGCAGGTTCATTGCCGGAGTAACAGCAACAATTTGCATGGTGAAACGAATTTATCGGCTGTCAAACGAGCCAGTCATGCCTTCGGAAGTTTCGGTCCGACGGAATCTCACTGAAATGGCGCCCCTTCATTTCTGTGGCGGGAGATAGGCAATGCCAGTGCGCTTGCCATTATTCTTATTATCTTGGTTTTACCCAATCGGCAACCAGGACCAGACTATCGAGCTGCACCATGAAGTTGCGTTCTGCCGCAGATGACATCACGGTTACTCATTTCGGTGGTGCTTCCATTGATTTCCTGGCTGATATGCTGGTCAACAAAATCGACTATCCATCCATTCGCGTGATTCATCCTGGCAGCAAATACCCAGCTCCCACAGTTGGGGCTTCGTTGCAGGCAATTGTTCTTTCTATCCGTAGAGAGACGAAGCAATGCTTTGGGGACAAAACAATCTTGAAGATGGTGCTCTTCGATGGCAGCAACAATTGTTTCAAAGCTGTTACTGACACTCTTCTTTCTGAAACTTTGCCTGATGTGAAAAGGGGAAGCAGACTCTCTATCTCTGAGTACAGTTGGATCAAGTTGAGTTCCAATTCCAGCTTCAAGCATATTCGCATCATGTTGATTACTGAATTGGAGACATCTGATCCTCCTTCGTGTGAGGGAAAGGAAATCTTGATCATGGAAGATCCTGATGACAACCTTTTTGGTATGTCACCAGATCAATTGAAGGCCAACACTACCTCCTTCCATCCTGACATTGTGAAGAAGTGTCATGGTACCGGAGAGATTGTCTTTACTTGTGCGGAGTGTCTCTACGACCCAAAGACCAATGCTGGATTTGTCTACTGTGGTCCTGCGAAAAGGTGGCAGTTGGCTTCTGGTGCACCAGTTGCCACTAGGTTCCTCAAGCCCGACTTCAAGAGATTGTTCACAGTTGGATTGGCAGACAGCAGTGATGATGATTCTACTGTCATGTACTGCGAGTGCATGTCTAGATTCCAGTACGTTTGCTGTGGAAGGTTCACCTTTTCCATCACAATGATGGACAAGGATCTACTCTTTGACCAGATGATTGCCAAAGTTCCCGAAGACAAGAGGCTTGCGAAGTGTTGGGATGACCTCGAAGCTCCTAAGCAGAGGTGGTGTTTTTATCACTGGGTGCATCGAACATGTACAATCTTACTGAGAGGAAGGAGTTGCCTTCCTGTGGTCCAGTATGTCCGTGAGAAGATCCCCAATGACAACGAACAGCAGGCCTTTACAGGGTATGTTCCTCGTTTTTACACTCACCAGTCTATTATGTCTCCCATGAAAGCTGATACGGAGATCCACAACGAAGAGGTAGAGGAACAAGGCACGGTCAAGGAAGAGGTAGAGGAACAAGATACGCAAAGGAACAAGACACGGCAAAGGAAGACACCGACTATGGTGAACCACTGCTGCAGACTTCGAAGCCTACGTCGAAGAGATGGAAAAGAATGCTTCGAAGACCGAACGTGAATACTGGGGCATAGCCTTGGACTTTGCTTCCACCTATGACAAGAGTACGATGCAAGCTGCTAAGAACATCTTGCAGTCGGAGAATGCTTCTGGCAATGAGTCGAAGGAAGAACCTAAGAACTGACGATTCGGTTCTACTGTAAAGAAGTGCCGCGATATCGCAGCTGTTTGCTTCTAAGTGTTAAGAAAGAAATTATTTGTCACTGTCTACTATCTTATTAGTTCATTATGTCGTCTTCATCATTGTCGTTGTCTTCCAGGATGTTCTCCACTATGAGAGTTCGATTGTGGGCTTCTGTTTCTTCCATTTCAAGAGGAATGCTGTCAAGAAGACTCTGTTGTGTTTCTTTCACTTGGTCGTCGGTCATTCCTTCTAACGCACTGACGGATGGATGGCTATCACATAGCTTACGGTTCTTAGGACAAAGACGACTCGTCCTTCTCTTGTGCCCCCAATTGCCACAGGCCTTACAGTAGTTGTCATCAGAACAACCAGCTGGCTTGGGACCCTGCGGATGCATTTGTGTATTGTTGCTTTTCGTCTTCTGTTTCTTTCTCTTGGGTTCAGTTCCCTCATCTAACGCACTGCAAGTTTCGTAGAACATGTTTTTTTTTCTATCTTCTTTTAGCTTAGCGTGGTAGGCTAATATCTTTTGGTATACTCGTTTGTTTCTCCTGCGTCGATAAGCAGGAGTCTTCCTCATCGCGAGTCGCTTGCATCTCGCAGCATCAACAATAGTGAGATGCCGGTCCGTGGCAGCGTCCATTTCAATACCAAGAAGGGAAAATACCTTTGTGTAGAATGCCTTTGGGCCAAGGATGTTAATGCCAATAGCCATGAGAACTCTGACGCGGAGGGACAACGTGCCGCTGTAGTGCTTGTTCTTGGGAGCGAGCCAAGATATCGTGCAATTCAGCGACTCATTCACTTGAGTATCACCTCCGTGCACTACTTCCTGTAACCGCTTCATTCGAGTGTACTTCTTCATTATCGTTCGAATAGCTTCGAAGAGCTCAGGTTCCTTTTCTTTTGAACGATACTGCTTGTCTGACTGTTCTTTTTCTTCTTCCGTCGCATTCTTCCTAGTGCAGAAAGAATCGCAACAATACCTGTGGTCATCGAAGTGATGTAGCAACGGGGCTTGACTCCTATTCTTCCATTCAGACTCTGGAACATCTTTTACGTCCCATATCAATGAAACAAAGTTGACGCAGAGTCGTAAGATGTCACCCTCACAGAGACCATGGTTGTACTTCTTTTTCTTGCCATAAAGAGTATACAAGTCATTCCTAAGGCCTTTCTTTCGGTGTGCAGGATCAGCAATGAACTCGGGCTCGGGAATGGTGGAAGGTAGGAGTCCACCAGTACGGCGAACTTCTTTCCATGTTGGGCATTTGTGCTTTGGAAGGTGTGCACACCTTACAAGGCTTTTCGATGTGTTGCTGTGGTTTCTTCTTGAATTGTAGAACAAGACCAGCAATATGTATCTCTGAAATGCCGTTCATTCGAAGGAAGTCTTCGTTAGACCACTTCGCATTAGCACGCATGCTGGAATCATCATCCGTAATGATTCTGGTAACATGTAACTGGTACTTGTCGTGTAAGAACTCAAGCATGTACAAGAGAGCCGATGCTTCCATAGATCCAGCCGACCCTTCATGGTTGACTTGACATTGGTGGTCACCGGGTGGAACAGTTCCCTTTGCTTCATGTCTCTTACATGTAGAACAGAAATTACTCTTCAGGCACCAAGCAATGTGCTTTCGAGTTTTCTGTGCTATAAGACATGCATGCCCGCTGGAGGAATCATGTCTCCTACCACTTCCTCTTTTCTGCCATCCCATATCCATGGAAACGACCAAATCAATAGAGGACAATGCGGACGGATCATTGCTTGTCTTTCCTTCCATTATATCAGTCTTCCATTTCTCCAAATCAAAGCTGCCGTTGTCTATCTCATCTGTCATGAGTATCTTTACTTCGTCGAATAGATTGTTCTGAATTGCTTCCTCTGTAACCGCTCTGATGATTGGGTAAAGTCCATCAACTATTTCCTTGAATGTGTGGGTTGTCATTGAAGTCGAACATGGAAGGCTCATGATACCCAGAAGACGTCCTGCTTCTGTACTCCCATCTCCACCAGCTAGATGCGCCAAAACAAATCGAAGGTTTGTCTGGTATGAAATATTCGAAGGATTGCCCCGCTTCACTGCTATGTTGGTCCGGCTGCACTCCCCCTCAACAGTCCTTCCGTTGCACTTGGGACTATTACAGACAAGTCGAGGCTTAGCAGCAAGGCATTTGGTTCTGAAGGAGAATTCAAGAAAACCAGACTTGCCGCAAATGGAACATGCAAGATTGTCCTCAATGAACTGGCAAAGACTTTCTCTTTCGACAATAATGCGAGTTGGCTTCTTGTCAACAGTGGCAGCAGGATCTTCGTCAGTGTCCGTTTTTGCAGATGAAGTTTCTTGTACGTGGACTGTTCTGGTGATCTCCAGCGCTGGTTTCTGGGCAGGTGCGCCACGATTGAGGCATTTCTTAACTTCCCAAGATATCTTTGCTTGTACTTCATCCGGCAGCTTGCGGTCATACCGGTTCAAACCTTGTTCAATCCTCGAATGCTCACGTCTTGCTTTTTCTTTCTGATTCGCTGTAAGGCACCCCAAGAGTTGATCTAGCGTCTGTGGTGAGCCCTTGCTACGTGTACTCCTGGATGCAGGAACCGGCGTGACAAGTGAGGACCATCATTCCCCCCATCATTTGCCTCCTCCTGCGATGTCATCCTCACAATGGATTCCCTGATCAAATACTAGTAGAGTAGACATGATAGCATCTTCCTTCTTGCTACCAGGAACAACTATAGTTGACACTTGCTGCTATCGACTGACTGCTTACGAAACTTGCATCCTCTACTGATTGGTCTGGACTTTACCACGTTACTGACCAAATCAAGGTCGGCCGTCTCCTATTATTTGATTGGCTTAGAAGGGCCGTTGGGGGGTTCGGCAGGCAACCCACAGATACAACAATCTCGTGTGTTTTGACTGATAGATTCCGTGTTCCACATAATGTGCCTTCGAGGTCCGAGCTCTGGAAAGTACCGGCAGAGGTACCTCGAGACCACCCAACGTCTGTCCGTCTATCGGAAGGTAGGTATACCTCCTTAAAAAAGAAAAAGGAACGTCCAGAGTCGAGTCTATTTTGTCATTTCATCCGGGATCTGTAGTTTCAATCGAGTCACGTTTCAATACCGAGCCAGGAGCCAGGTCGACGGTCGGTCGCAGGCCTCGCCACGAGTTCTCAATCAATGCGGACATGTCGACATTGTCGACAGCGATGAAAAGAATGTGGCCAATAGCCTTAATTAATTCAATAAGTTAGGGTCCTTATGCCATATGGTAGCTGTGCGAAGGTTTTAAGAACGTCGTATTCACAGTATTCACTGACTTTTTTCACACGTGGCCAGCTGGTTCCTGACGTGGTGGCTCGCCACTGCCCCAATTCGAACCCCAATGTTCCAACCACCACAGGTTCCCCAACAAAAAGCACCAGCCACTTGGAATCTTGGAATCGAATCAATCACATCGTTTCAACAAGCTAATCGAAAAAGACTCTGATACTCCAAAGCACCGAAAAACCACGCACCTGTTTTGCAGCTTTAGACCAAACCAGAGACGAGGGAGACAAATTTTAATACACAACACATGTATGATGTATGTATTGAAAGATGGGAAATGAAGACTACCCGACTGCAGGAACGGCCGTACCGGCCTTTGGAGGAGTGGAGAAGGAAAAGGTGAAAGAGGAAGCCAATGAGAAGGCCATCGGGAAAGAGACCGGTAAAGAGACCAACAACAGTGGCTACACCGACCGTACCGATGGTAGTCTGATCAGCACCCGAGAAGAAGGAGGATTGTCGTCATGGCCACCGGTCGTAGTCCGCAGCCCAGGTGGTACCGGTATCATGAGTCCAGGTGGTGTCATGGACCTACCGGATGCGGTTCCAAGCCCTATTGGGGCTCAGGGACTCCCCGGTGCTTATGCAGCGGGACCTTCCCGCCCCTTTGATGAAGTCGAAGAGGGGTGGCCCATGGATGACTTTGCCGACACTGGTGATGCCCCTGCACCTGGTGCTGACAATGATGAGAATCTGGTTGTGGCCAATCGAGTAGAGGACTTGGACGCACAAGATTTGCCTCAAGCGGAACCGGAAGGCAATAACGGCAACGCTGCATCGAAACAACGGCAAAATGACCAATTGAAGCAAACCCTGATTGCGGCATCCTGCTGTATCCCAGTGATTGTAGTCATAGTCCTACTGCTAGTTCTTTTGAGCAAAAACAGCTCAAGCTCGAATGATGCAAACAACACGCCATCCCCTGCTACAGCTTCACCAACCAGTGCCGTGTCACAAGAACCCACCACAATCGATCAGTACATGCTTTCTCTGCTTCCAAATGAAACCGTTGCGGCAATCGAGACAGACCCGGCATCACCACAGGGAAGGGCTTTTCAGTGGCTGCAAGAGGAGGGTGAAACGACAAGTAATATCCATTACCTTTCCCATCAACGTATCAAGCAACGATTTGCCTTGGCCACCTTGTACTTTGCCACCAATGGAGCTGATTGGACAAACAGTACAAACTGGCTTGACCATGGTGTCCATGAATGTGAATGGTACAACCAACCTTACTTTGCACTCAAACCAATCATTTCCCGCTATTATCCAGGATACTTGGATGGATTCTTTAATTCCACAACTGCAAATGGCCAACCCAAGCCTTGCCATGATGTGACCGATCTCTATGAGCACTTATGGTTGGACCAAAACAATCTGGTGGGCACACTACCAGAAGAAGTCTACTTGCTGACATCACTCGAAACCCTGTCCACTGGATTGAACGTTGAGCTACAAGGAACCATTTCATCAAAGGTTGGACAGCTCACCTCTTTGCAAGGACTGGCGTTGTTCTCTCAACGAAATGCTGGAATCATCCCATCAGAAATTGGATTGCTCAGCCATCTTCGAGCACTCTACCTAGGAGGAAACAACCATCAGGGAGTGATCCCTAGTGAGTTCTGGAAACTGACATCTCTGGAATACATACTAATGGGGCGCAATCCTCAGCTGCAAGGAACCCTTCCATCGGAGCTGGGCAGCTTTGCCAGTTTGAAGTGGTTCATTACATCTACTTGTAACATATCTGGTGAGTCCTATGACTGTTGGCGCTGTTCCGAATGCTGGGCTGCAGCAATGTTTTGTTGGATCATTTGGTTTTGAACAAGTTGACTCACACAGATGTTGCATGCTCTTGCAGGAACCATCCCTTCTGAAATGGGTAAACTCAAAGCCCTGGAACAGTTTTACATATCTACAAATTCACTGTCGGGTTCGCTTCCCAGTGAGCTGGGACAGCTGTCCAAGCTGTCTGTGGTTTCATTGTTCAGCAATTTCTTAGAAGGGAGACTGCCTACCCAGTTGGGTCTCCTTACATCTCTAATCTTGCTCACTATCCGAGACAACGAGCTATCAGGACCACTGCCAACGGAAATCGGGCTCCTAACCAACCTAGCCGATTATCTGAATCTGGAAAACAATGCAGCCCTCTCTGGAACTATCCCAAGTGAGCTTGGTCGCTTGACGATGCTGCAGGAATTGACCTTGTTCAATAATGAGCTGTCTGGCGAGATCCCCAGCCAATTTGGCCAACTGACATCCATGGTTCACATGAATCTTGCCAACAACTCCCTTTCTGGGACTGTACCCCAAGAGTTGACACCTTTGTCACAGTCTCTCCACACGTTCAATCTGGAAGGGAATCCTTTGTTGTCTGGGATTGTGCCGAATGCACTCTGCAACATCAGTGGAACCTGCGAAGAAAGTGCTCTGGATTGGGTGTGTGAAGGTCCTTTTGGTTTGACCATGGACTGCACTGGTCTCTTGTGTGGCTGTGATTGTCCCTGTTAGGTGATAGAATCATGGATAGCCAGGCGCGCTGGCCATCTGCTCTGAGAGAAACTTAAACTAAACTACATATTTTGATTTCCTTGCACCAAGTTTGAGTGGCTCTAAACACAATGAGGTGGACGGCGACAGTCTCAGGAACGAGGCCAGATTTTCGTCGTCGCGGATCCCGCGTCTTGTGGAGGTGCAACCAACAACTTGCTTGTGCTTTACTGTGGTCAAGGCTTCAGGGGCGTACTGGTGCCGTACACACAGCGTAATGCATGTGCCCACAAAAAACGCACAGCGACACTTTTGTGCAGTTCAAATCTCCCGATTACGGCTGTAGCCCTGCCTCCTTGGGCGTAATCGCCGGAAACGGATCGGCGTTGACAGCGGTCCCATTCTTTGTCAATGGTGATAGCCTACAAGGACATCGTGTCGTCCAACTTGTGTCATTTTTGCAATCCTACAGTATTTTGCAGCACTGTTTTGGAAGGATCGCGAATGGGATCAAATTGATCCCGTGCTTCAACTGTGTTTGTAATCCTTGCCTGCAATCTCTGGGCTTTATTGTTCTCCATTTCGATGTGTTGTTGCGGCACAAGTCCCGATCAACAACGCCTCGAGGAGGCGCAGCAATCAATGGAATACGACACGCTTTTGGTGGCAACCTCCGAGGGTGATCTCTCGGGCGGGATGCAACGAGTACGATGTGATGTATCCTCGCTCGACTGGGACTGACTACTCGACTCGTGAGGCTTTTGCTTCTTTCGAAAGGGTTTTTAGAGCTGTTTTAGAGATAAATCAGAAGGGAAATTTTTGACGGAAGGCCGCAGAGGCCGGATTCAGGAAAAGCTTATTTGGGACCTTTCCGAGTGCGGGAAGAGACTTACTGTATCATCTTATCATAGGGACACTAGCTAGACTTCAATCTTAAAATCTCGAATCTTCTTTTTCTCTATTTTTCTCGGAAATTTTGGCGCTGGAAAGTTTTTTCTGGAAACTTGCTTTGGCCCTGGAAGGATCCTGCTTCGCTCCGACAACAAAAAGAAACAAGACTATCCTCTTTACTTGGACCTCAATGACGCAGCCAAGCAGAATGGCACCTCGATGAACGATTAATCCTTCCTAGTCTAGCTAGAGAGTCCGCAAACAGATCATTCTTCAACAATGCTGCAAATGATCCCTGACCACCCAGACCTATCATTGCTTTTCTACACGACAATCTCAGCTGGTCTGCTCGGCTTTGTTCTGGCAGTCATACGTCGAGGACGTGAGAAACCATGGAAGATGGTTCCAGGGTGGCTTCCCATTGTGGGGCATTTTCACTATGTCGGTGGCACACCCATGATGGCACAAATGCTGGAAGAGTGGGCCGAAAAGCACTCTGAAGATGTTGGTTGTTACGAAATCGATTTGATGGGAGTCAAGTATGTTGTTGTTAGCCGGGAAGACCGTGCCATGGAAGTCTTGAAGCAGCGACCACACAAAGTCCAACGTATTCCTGGAATTCGGGAGGCATCGGATTCGACGGGGGCTACTGGTGTCTTTTCAGCAGAAGGATCCCTGTGGAAAGAAGAAAAGAAACTCATTTCAGCAGCACTCAATCGCAACAGTATCAATGACTTTTTGTCAAGCATGAAGGATAATGCCAAGAGGCTTGTGCAGAAATGGAATTGCGACATTGGTGGTCATGGCGATAATAACAACAGTAAGATTCAGCCAATCAGCTTGGATATTGGCCACGCGACCGCCGATGCAATCTCCAAGGTGATGCTTGACCAAGACTTTGATTTTTTGAATAATCCAGAATCCAAAATGGCGCACAATGTCTTCACTGGATTCCGTGGATGGATTTTGAGGACATTGAGTCCAATTTGGTACTGGAGGATTCCCCTCATTGGCCAGGATCTGGATGGCTATGGCAAGTACTATCGATACCTCAATCAGGTCTTCAATCGGGCAGTGGATGACTTTGAAAAGAGAAAGAAGGAAGCATCCAACAACAATGATTCCAACAGCAACTACAACAAGATGTTCTTGGGAAAGCTATACCAAGCCATGGAGCAGGAAAAGTCGAACCTATCACGACAACGAGTAGTGGGCAACATCTATACTGCCTTTGCGGCTGGAATTGACACCACTTCCAAAACTCTAGTCTCAACACTCTATGCCCTGGCTATGGACCAGAAAGTACAAGAAGAGCTTCGGGAACATGTAAAGGACTTTGATATTGATGACGGTTCTTCTACACTTCAAGACTTGTATACGTGGCTGCCCATGCTCAAATCATTCATGCATGAAATCCATCGTTGGTATGCAGTTCCATTTATCATGCTGAGAGTGGCTGAGGAGATTCCCTTTTGTGGCAGCACCATGTTGCTTCCTGGTCAAGATGTGTTGGTTCTAGGGCGGTACTTGTCGGTGAAACCGGATGCCACGGATGTTCCCTTAGGACCGGACAATGCTCCTCCCACAGAATTCAACCATCAAAGATACTTGGTCCCATTGGAGACAGAGGATAGTGATTGCAATAACGACAACAAGGACATCCAAAAATGGACTTGCCCAGGACCCAGTGACAAATCAACTGGTTTTCTCAACTTTGGTCATGGGGTTCGAAAGTGTCCGGGCCGAGTCTTCTCTGAAGCCTTCTCCTATTATGTATTGATTGCTATTCTGCAGAATTTTCAGTTTGAACTTGCCCCCAACCAACCTCCTGTGAAGATTGTTTTTGACTCGGTCATGACTCCAGACACCCAGATTCAGCTCAAGTTAACCAAGTTGTCTAACACAACAGATTGATTAGGGCGAAAGCTTGACAAGAGCTCTTCGTGCTAGCTGATACCATTTATAAAAAAACGTAGCCTTGGTTGCCATCGTTCCCCTGCCACACTCTTCATTTTCGAAAAACTGGACTGGTGGTGTTGGCCGTGTGGGTCACCTCCGCACCGGCATTGGGTGGGCCTCAGTTTTAAGGAAGTTAGCTCTGACGTCATTTCTCGTGGGGCTCGTTCCACAACCACATCAAGCCACAACTTGTGGTCTCTTTTCTTTTCTGATCCGAGTCTGATCCATCCATCATGTTGCCGCTGTGCCTGTTCAGCTTGTCATTGGTTCTACTTCTTTCTACGCTTGTGAGTGGTTTCAGCAGCCCTAACACGCAGCAACCAACAGTGATGAACTCTCTCGGTGCCGACGCCTTGAAAGAACTGGTCCAAGAAGCAGCTGTTCAGGATACCGCTTCCACTTTGGATGTCACGGGCATTCTCTGGTTGGAACACATCAACTTGGTCGTCGGATCGCGGCCTTTGGCAGAACGCTTCTATTTGGATATCCTTGGATTTAGCAAAGACAAGTCCAAGAGTTTCCATGTCAATTTGGGTCAGCAGCAGTTCCATTTGGCCGAAACGGGAGATCCGGCCCAGAAAGTAACGGGCAGTATTGGATTGGTGGTCCCATCCATTGACACGGTCAAACAGCGACTGCAAGAAGCATTGGCGGGCGATGAATTCAAAGACACGCTGTTGGCCATGGATTCCACTACGAAAAGTGATGACACTACTTTATCCATTACGTGTCCATGGGGCAATCGCTTGCACTTGTACGATGCTACTCAAGAGCAGGCAACCCTCCAACCCACCTCCGACTCTCCCCGCAAAATGGTCAACATGCACGCCACCGGTGGCAACTATGCTCCCGAACGAATGGGTATTCGTGGTGGTAATCCAGGCATTCGTTACATTGAAATTGCGTGTCCACCACAATCCACACCGGCGATTGCGTCCTTTTATCGAAACATGCTGAGTTGCACCGTCACTACAACAACGATTAGCAGCAACCGTCCTGCCATTGCGGTTTGTGTGGGACCGGGCGTTCATTTGGCCTACGTCGAAGACGACAATCTATCACAAGATGCCATTTCGGCCATGGAGGGAGTTCATCTCTGCATCTACGTGAATGGTTTCAAGAATCTCTATGATCGATTAAAGACACGCAACTTGATATGGACAAACCCGCGATTTACACACTTGGATTCCTGTGATACCTGGGAAGAAGCCATGGAATCTCGTACGCTGCGTTTCAAGGACATTGTGGACTTGTCAACGGGAGAAAAGCTGTTGGAAGTGGAGCATGAAACACGACCAATGCGGCATGGACAGTATCTCAAGGTGCCCTTTTATGAACCCAAATAGGGCGTCCAGATAGTATCAAGACTGAGTAGAGTAAATTTGCTACCGGTACCGTAGAGCAATGCATCCTCATCACAGAGAGCACACGTCCGGGAACGAAAGCTGTATGTGTGGGAGTCTCCTCTCTGTGTATCGTAATCTGCATTCTATTTCAGTCAATGTTAGCATCTTCTACTCATTCTCGTGGTCTAATTGCAGCGCAAAGGAAGTTGTTGGTTTTGGTTTTGGTGTGTGCGTCCAGGTGAGTTTCTGCGTCGTGTTTCAATATTACTAGTATTCCAAGGAGACTAATCGTCCCTCCCTACAAGATTCTCGTGCCGCATCGGCCACTCGTTGCACCTTGACACATTGTTCTCCTGTAATCGGCCATTCGTCCAGCTGAAACACGGTATCATAAAAGGCATCGATTTCCAAGGCAAATGCCTGCGCAAATCGTTGCGGGAAGGAATGCAACAGTCGCGAGTGATGGATTCCCTGTGCATTGGACAAGACAGTGGTGGTTTCGGGTTGATTCTGAATACTGAGCAATCCACCATTGTTGCCAAAGACTTCGCATCGTTGATCATATCCGTAGGATGCACAGCGACTCATGAACAGCGTGGCGACGGCACCGTTTGAAAAGTTCATGACCATAATGGCATTGTCGTGTACTCCAGCCTCTTGCAACTCCTTGTCCATGCTCGTGCCGGTAGCATAGACGCTAATGATATCATCTTGCAATGCGTTGGTGATGAAATCCACGTCGTGTGCACATAAATCCAAGAAAATGTCGCCTCCTTGCAACAAGAATTCCCGGGGCGGAATGGGATGATCGGCAAAAAAGAGATTGGCCACGACGGGGGTCCCAATTTCCTGGTTGGCAATGGCCTGAGCGGCAGCAACGTAGGATGGATCAAATCGTCGTTGAAAGCCACAACACAAGTGCAGGTTGGCAGTTTTGGCCATGTCAAAGAGCGAATCAATCTGTGCGGCAGATTCACCCACGGGTTTTTCTGTGAAAATGCCAGCCACTTGGGCATCGACACCATTGTTCTGGTTGTGATGGGCGACTTGTTGAATGACGTCGTGGTGGGTATGTGTGGGAGAACACATGACAATGCCATCGAGTTGTCCATTTTGGTCTTCTAGCATTTCATGGAGTTCCGTGTAGGCATTGACCTTTTTATTGATTTATTCAAACAAAAACATGGCGAAGTGGATTGTAGTAGTACGTAGTACCGTGGAATTGATTGAATTCAGATTGTCGTTGTAAAGAGAAAAAGCAAAACAAATAAAGAATATTCTATGAGATCTTCAAGCCAGCCTGGTAAGGTCAGTTGACCTTACCAGGCGCATTGTGGACGGATTGATTGACATTATATGATTGTTGGCAACTCACACCAACTTTGTGGGCCAATTCAGTAGCCCCATTCTGATTGACATCCACGACGCCCACAAAGTCAAATCTCGGATTGGCCATGAGAATGCTGGCGCGAATTTGTCCCATGCGGCCACTGCCAATCAAAGCCACTTTGGCCTTTTTTGTTGCTGCGCTGTTGCTACCAGTACTGAATCCCCTCATCATGACATGGCTTGGTTGTCGGAAGAGTCGATTCTTCGACAGTATCGTTCGTCTCCACAGACTGGAGGACGACAAGACAGCACTGGTGCAGGACATGATTTTGAGACAGAAAGCCAGGAGCCCAGCGTATCTGGAAGGAAAAGCTAGTCACAACTCCGTTGTCCTGGTTGTGGTGTTCGGTTGTCGGCGGCTTGCCAGCTTGACACAAATGCCATCATGCATCGGCCGTCAAAAAGTGACTGCTGCCAACCAGCAATTTCACGGAAGCCTAGAAAGATTTTGTGTGACTGAGTGACTCGCTTGTCACTCGGCTACTAACTACCGGTAGGAACTCTATTTTCAGGCTACTCTGAGTACTACTGTCGATCGTGGCGAACAACTACCTAGTAGCTACAGCTTTGCTTGCTATTTTGCTGCTCAGTTTTAGAAGGCAACAACAACAACAACAACGAGTGGAGAATCCAACGACCATGGCCCATCAAGCAATCTCAGAGAGTGTAGCACCTGTCTTCGAGCAGGAAGCGAACAGGCACCTTACAGTTTACTTTCCTCCATGTCTTCAAGGCTGTGGCGTGACAGATTTCCGCGGTCGTGAAATCGTGCATGATGATACTGGTAGAGTAATCAAGCAGCTGGATTCATTTGCTTACATGAGTAATGACAGCTTGGCGCTGGGTAGCGAAGCGAAATCTAACGGGATATATCTCCTTGCCCCCTCTGGGATGGTTGTGAAAGAGGTTGTAGCAGCCCCAGATCGGAATTCGCAAGACTCGCCTGGGGTGGGTTGGCTACGTGAATTGGCAGAAGTTGTCATTTTGTTTGGTTGACACAAGTCTCTTGTTCACTTTTGCTGCACAGGCGCAGGATAGAGTTCCTTTGATTCCAACGAAATACGTTGTTGGGGAAGCCTACTCAGGGGCTAATCCTTTGAAATTGGCGGACAAAGTTGAGCAGCTTGAAAGTGCAATCGAAACACTACGAGCTCGCCACGTTGGTCGTGGGGGTGCTTGCGGCGACATAACAAGCTTGGTGGGGGCTGCATTGCTGATTTGTAGTTGTGGATCAAGGCATCGAGCACAAGCCGTCATAGAGGACAGTGGTTACTTCCTGGCAGCCTTGAATCAACGAAACCACCCACACCTTTGGCGTTTGGCCCAAGCTCGTCGTCTCTTTTGCATTGTTATGTCGGCGAACGAAAGCCCCCAGACTGTTATTGGCCGGCAGACACACAGAACGCTCACAAGCTTACAGATGGATGTCCAGGGCGTGCAGTCTGATATCCAGGGCATGCAGTCTGATATCCAGAGATTGATGCAACATTTTGGTCTAAATGTGAAGGACGTGGGAAGCGGAGCACAAAGTTGATGTTTTTTATTCTAGCACCACAGAACCACTCTCTCCACAGACGGCATCGAATCCACCTTCATCCTGGTTCAAATCTCGCCCCTCAGTTGTGTCCATTTTAGCTCATGGCATCCGTACAATCCTATCAAATAATTAGTAAATCAATCCCGCCCAATTCCCCACAAAAAAGTAGAACAGGAAGGCAGCCTATATTACCTGCCCAACCTGTTCTTTTTTCTACTTTTCTCTCCCAGGTTGAGCCTCCGCGGCGCTTGAGCGGACCCAATCTAGCATCAGAATAGCAATACCAGCCTCTCTCCCGGGTTGAGCCCCCGCGGTGCTTGAGCGGACCCAATCTTGCATCAGAATAGCAATACCAGCCTCCGCGGCGCTTGAGCGGACCCAATCTAGCTAGTAGGAAGCAAGTGGTTTCCCATACTGGAAATCTGAGTGGGCTTCCGCTTCGCCGTTTTGCTCTGAGCACGAAGAGAGATGGAAAGATGGAATCAATCTTTCCTCTGGTTCCTGCTACCGTATCACGACGGCTTGTAGCTAGCTAGAGTCAGAAATACCGGTAAGCGCCAAGCTACAAGCACGCAGCAGCCTCCTTAGCATACTAGTAGGCGCTTTTGAGTTCCCGTACCTATGGTAACAGAAGCCAACCAGAGATCCTGCCCGATACCTTTTACAATATATTTCTCATTCTATTCCTACTTCCCATAATGCTTCCATACGGTACATTCGGAAGATGCTCAAACCTTCATGGCACTAACATCTTCAGGTGAGGTCATGCCACTAACATCTTCAGGTGAACCTCCAGGGGCTTCTTGTTTCTTGCCTCGGAGCAGGACCAACAAGAGCAAGAAAAAGTCAACCGTGGCAATTACAAGGGCAGCAATGGCTATCTTTTCTCCAGAGCTCATATTGTCGGCTTCTTCCTTCAATAATTCAGCATTGATTGTATGTGAAGCTGTGCCTGGAACATTGTCATAGACAAGTGTAGTATCTGGCATGGGTTCTGTGCCGGTACAAAACTCATTGGTGGCAGGACAGAGAACCTGATCCGGTGTGAGTTGTTCCACCCAGGATATGAGTTCCGGAACCATTGACTTGTTCCCAATGGAAGTGGTGGAGGCAGATGCAGCAAAGGATGCTGCAGTCGCATCGTCCCACCCAAAATATCCGTGCAGGACGTTCGCAGGCACAACATTCAAGGCAGGTCCAACAGGAACAAAGATACCCACTTCATTTTGCAACTTGTCCTTTTTGCGGGAAACGCCCATGACGGCAGCATTGTCCTGGTCCATACCCAAAATGTTGACAAAAACATCGGGAGGAATGTAAAAGGACTGTCCTTGAGATGCCACAAACTGACTGGCATAGCCAAAGTTGGGGCTCAAGAACATGACCCAGATACGTCCTTTGGTGACATAGCCGCCAATGCCACCTCGCGCCTGAAGAGCGGGACCGATCATGGCACCCTGTTCCAATTGCAATCGAGCATACAGCATGTCCGTCACAGTGGCCCGAGCAGGCTGCAACTGACAGACGGCTCCATCAAATTGACAAGTGCATCCTGTAGTGGTGGGATCAGGCGATGCACAGGATGCTACACTTTGAAAGGGAGGATAATACTTGTCATTGGAGCCATCATAGACAGTGCATTGTTGATTGCCAGTTTGAGAGTCGCGGGTGCAGTACTGTCCTGGAGTCTCTGGTCGCAGGGGGCAATTTGTTGGATCCTCTGTGATGTTGGCACACACAAAGGCGGCACCAGGACCATTCTCCATGTTGTTTGTCCAGGGATAGGATTGCGAGAAGAAATTCGGAAGGCCGGTACCAGTACCACTGGGCATGACCTGTACATTCACGGCTTGTTGGACAGGCTCTGGTTGCATGGCCATGTAAAGAGGAAGCAGTGCTAGGTGGGCTTCATTGACACTGCCAAATGCAACAAGTTCCAATCCTTCACTGCTGGCTTCAAATTGATGCAGGTACGACTCTGGCAACGTCACAAGGTCGTTCTCTGATACCGCCAGCATTTCAATGGACTGATCATAGGGACTCATGATGGAAACAATTCCTGAGCCTCTTGCAACAAAGACATACTCATCCATGTTTTGATGAATATGCCATGGGTGGACTCCACAGGGATTCAGGTCAAAGTAGACAATAGACAGAGCCACATCGTCAAAGACTTCGAGATGCTCCGCAGACGCCGGAGTGCCGGAAATAAGATTGGTGGAATTGGCAAGATCTCCAATGGCCCAGACATGCCCTCCACATCCATCGTTGAACCTGTTTTGTGGCACCTTGACGTCATGGACCAATTGTCGTTGTGTCACAGTGTTGATTCCACCGGTGACTGGTCGGCTACCCAAGAATGTGGTGCTGCTGGCGGCCACATGAGTTGTTGAAGCCATTGCTGAATAAGAATCACTCATTTTTCTTCTTGTTTTCGTTTTCTAGCTATAGTTGCTGTTGTTTTGTTTGTGCGTTTGCTTTTCTTTTGCTTTTTATGAGCCTCGGTGTGGTACCGGTGGAGGAGACATCAGTGACTGTGACTGTTACCTTGTGAACGGATGAACGGATGAGGGGCACAACTACTGGTACTTGTACAGTACTTTTGGTACGACACACGCTGCGGAGCCAATCATGCTTTGAACTTTGGTTGTTCGACTCGACTCACGAATCTTCAATCGAATATACACTAATCGGTCAATTCGGCGAACTCGTTTGTTGGATCTTTGCGACAGGACTTCGTCACAATCAGCCGCTTTTCTCATTCTTCGAGATATCTTCCACATCCTGCAGATGGTACCTTCGTTGTTCTCGGGAGTTATACTAATGCAACACGGAAGAATGCAGAAACATCATATAGACAACAGTTGATTGACATCCAAAGATGAGGGTGACGATTGCTCCTACCAGCACTGGCTTGTGTTTATCCATTTGGGCCTTTGTATTACTAGTAGCACAAGGATACACTCCCTCCAAGCCACCCTTTCTCACTCGCTCGGATCTGTGTGGCATTTGGAAATTGACACAGGAATCACCAGCTGATGATTCTCCCAACGCCCAGAAAACAGCGGAAGAACAAGACAAGAGCGTTCTGGTGATCAGACTGAATGACGATGGAACCTTTGATCCCTATGCTCGACCCGAAGAAGAAACTCTTGCCACGCCACCAAGAACTAGTGCATGCGAAGATAACAACAATGTGCACAGCCTACTGGGAAGAGGTGGCTGCTGGGAATACAAGGATCAGAGTCTGGTGTTGGCAGCCGATCGCCCTCCAACCAAACAGAATTATTTGGACAAACAGCGAATTGTTCTGGACACTGTGTTGGATGGGAAATTGCAAGTTCAAGTCAGCGAAACTCTAACAGAAGATTCCACACAGTCATCACTGTTTTTAGCCGAAAAAGAAAACAGCGATCCATCCACAGGAGCAGCCACAACCAAACCCCAACTGGATGTGCATCTATCGATTCCAAAGGGTCAGATTGTACAGGGCAAGTTCTTTTATCCCAAAAAACACAATGCATTCTTTGACCAACCCATGCTCTTTCAACCGGCTACCGTTGGGAACTTTTCCATGCAACAATTGCTCGGCAATCTCAATGCCCGCCTGGAACAGGAACAAAGACGTGACAACAACAATAAACCCCAAGCCAAATATCACAAGCGCGATTTCTACAATCGCACGTTTTATCTGACAGCGACCCCACATCCTGTCAATCGGGGAATCGCTGCCCAAGACATTTATTACGACCAAGAAACAGCCACCCTCGATATCCGGGTCATGCCCCTGACATTTTATCCCAACAATACGTTTTCCGCCATTGGCAATGAAAAGATACTCCGTGGACGCTATGGACTCCAGGGGGGTGAACGAGACCGGCTGTGGTTCCAAGTGTCTCTCTTTGGTGCTGGACGATCGGCGCCAGGGTCCGTCTTTTCAGAGGGACGATTGCTGTCACAAGATGATCGAAGAGCATATGTTGGTGGGCCCATTCAAGCGTACAACACGACTGTTGACAACCAAAATAGGACGGCACTTTTTGTCGAAGGAGAGTATTGCTACGGATCCTTAAAGGCGATCAAGCGCAATTCCATGGGGACGTTCACCCTTCAAGAAATGCTGAATAATGATGACGACCAGGATGAAATGGGTGACGACGAACAAGCAGAAGACAGGAACAATGATGGTTCTTCTTGGGACGACGAAGATGCATTTCAATAAGCACAACAACAAAAGAGACGAATGGCTGAAGGACAAGCCAAGCCGAGCCAATTTTGAAGTGATACCGTTCACAACTAGAAGCTCAAATAGAATTAGTTGACTGAAGCTCTATCCGACTTTCACCACTCGAAAGCATGAACGAAGAGCTAGCTACATCGGTACCCCGGTGCTGAAAGTATAAACCAATTTGAATCACAAAAACGAATGTTTCTACCGGTATATCGTGTCAAACTATAGTAACTAGCTGATCACACAGTTCGCGGAAGCTCCGGCGCCTCGTTGGCCCTTCAACATTCTGTCCAAGTCTTCCTCCGACATGCCCTCACCCTCTCTTGCTGTGGTATCCCAGTAGTCAGACAAACGAGCGTCCTTCACATCTCGTCGGATGTAGAACAAAATGTAGGCCGACGAATCGACGACGTCTCGGTTGTGGATTTCGTAGATTTGAGCATCGTTGAACAGGCGCCATTGACCGTCAAGCTCGGACTTGAGCGATGCCACATAATGACCCCCCGACAATGCGCCTTGATGGTGCACAACACCGTACAGGTCATACAGCATCTCGGATCGACCGTCATCATCCGTGATGAACTGGGATGACTCTGTTGCCTCAGTGCCTAGATCGTCAATGTCGGGATCTTCCAAGTAAGCACTTCCATGCACGTCTGGTGCTGGTTTGGAAGATCCATTAGCCCTGCTCTGCTTCTTCTTATCCTTGGCCTTCTTTTTCTTTTTGGGCTGGTTGCTTGAATTGGATGATTCTACTGGGGGAACCAGGTTATCCGAAGCAATAATGCGGGATAAGTCGAGCCCTTCCACTGGAAACACGACCAGGTCGCGAAGCTTCCTTCTCATGTGCTGTGTGAATTGGAAACGTTTCAGTTGGATAATAACAATGGGTGGGAGCCGCCACAAGCTCATGCGCTTGGTCTGAACTCGAAAGTCCTTGCACTTGGAGCAGTACGCCTAATAATGAAACAGCAGATTACAAACGGTTGGTGACGGGGTTCAAACAGTGCAAAACACAATAGCTTGGTCTGACAAGAAAGTCATTTACCTCAGGGATACGCTCTTCTTGGGCAAAAGAATCTAAGCAGTCCTCCAAAGATATGGCACCTTGAATTCCCGTTTTCTTGGGGCCTGCTCCCATGGAACTGTGATTCTTGATAGTTACGCCGGGAATATTCCGTCTTGGAGCAAAGTTGGACGAACCGACCAGGGGGTCAATTTGGCTATTGATTCGCTGGCCAAAGCCTGAGGTCGCAACGTCAACAGCAAAATGCCAATCCACTGTTATACTGTCTCCACACATGACAATGGTAGGATAATCATCATCAGGAACCAAACATCCGATACAGCACTCGAACCAAGGGCAAAGAGTGCATCTTCGCCCGTCCCTTGATGTGATCCTTAACCTGAACCCATATCGAGGCACGGGTCCTGCCGAAACTTCTTCCATGTCGGTGGTAGTCTTTTTCAAACGTTGTCTTCCACTACCTTGTGTTCCGTCAGACTGCTGACGACTGCTTACAAGTTCCACTTCCATTTCGTCATCGTCTTTTTCAAGGAATCTCAGTGCACCCTTGGGGACAAAAGTTCTCACTCTCACGGCCACAAGATCATAAAGATCACGGCCAGTGAAACCTTCCAAGTCTTGGACTCGCAACAGCATCGGTGTTCCGAAGACTCGGTGCGCTAGGGGATGCAGAAAGTCACGTGACATTACTTCTGACTTCCGCTGCGCCATTGCTAAAAAGGAAAACTTTGCAGCTTCGGGCTCTGGTACAGCATCCTCTTCCTCCTCTCGACTCGTGTCGTCTTCTCCGCTCTCATCCTCGTCGTTATTACTTGCCTTGATGACCTTTATTCCGTCGTCGTCCTTCCCGAGATCGCCTGTTCGGAGAGATTCGTTCATGGCATCTGTGTTATCCTCAGGAAGAGGGTCAAGCTCATAGACATGAAGCACAGGGAGTTCGCCGGTATCCTTGTTTTGAAGGTCCGGGAGGGACCATGAATTCTGCAAGATAAAGTGAGCAAACAGTCAGAGGTGAGACCAGGGAACCAACCAAACCGCGCAAAGTCAAAGTAGTCTTCGTCTGGGCGTACCGATGCTACTTTCGAGATGTAACCATCTCGCATGTCAACTACTGCCATGTCCTTGGCACGCTTCTGGTAGACTTCTTCAAGAATTTCGATGTCTTCCGTTGCGGTGCTCGTCAATCGTTGCAGTTCTCGCTGACGGTCGCTGTTGTTCTTGTCGTTCTCGGCCGCTTTGTTGGTTTCGTCGGCATGCAACAACTTGGCAAGAGCCACAAGCACGTCGTAAAGATTCCCATCGTTTCGCACTCGGACTGAATACTTGAAAACATCTTTGGGGGGATTAGGGTTGCCTCCAGCATCAAACGTGCTGAGTGGGTACATAATCACAGATACTGGAACATGATCATCTTCTGGGAGTGGCAGTTGCAAGAACATAAATGGCTCGAAACGAGCACTCTCGTACTTGCACGATCGGCATGTCAACAAACTCTTGTATTGTCCAGTGAACAATGCCACGATGATTGACATCTCTCGTTTCAAGTGGTTCGACCACCAAATGTCCGCAAGTTCAGAATCAGGACGGCCATCGCTATCAGGTTGTTCAATGTAAGGCTTGTCCATAATGCGATTCAGATCCTCTGAAAGACCATCCAGCAAGAACGCTAACAGCTCTTGAGCATCGTGCTGCTCGTTCCCCGAAAAAATTTCGTTGAATTTGCCAAGCGATTCCTTGAAGGTTTTCGGCGTAAGCGACGGAGCATTGACTGGACAGTAGGAACCAGGTGCAGTGACTCGACGAGGTTGTCGTGGATTGTAGGAAGATGACGCAACGCTGCTCATCTGGTTGCCAAATCGCTTCCAAAGTGAATTGATGAGTACGGCGCTAACCTGAGCAAGTTGTCCCTGTTTCCCCAAAGGATTTGTTGTGTTGATGTCATTCAAGTACGCTTTCGACGTGAAGTACTCTCGGAGTATTGGCGTGTGGCTCAGACATTGAATGGACGAATTCAAGTAGCAAGTGTTACTGTAAATGGGAACGCGAACATGTCAGCTCAAAACATCCAGCAGCGCGGGATTGCACGGCACCACTATATCGAACGTACCCCATATTGTACAATCCAACCACACCATCGCCCATTTCTGGTTCGTCCGCTCGTTGCTGCCCGCGATTGTCCAAGTACGATCGCCTCCGTCCATCAATTCCGCGGGGCCACATGTCACTTTCTTCGTCTCTTACTTCCAACAGAAGCGTGATTCCACCGCCTTCTCCACCTGCCGCCGATGCAGCCCCTGGATGAGTTTGTGCTCGCGCTTTGCGCTGCTCAACAATGTTCTTATCCAAATCAAGCAGCCAGTCAACATCGGCATTGTCATCAGTACTGTCTGGCTCCGTTCCCGTCATCCATAATCGACACAAATCAGGGTCTATGTTGAGCCCCTTTGCCAGCTGCAGCAGCACAACTCGAACAGGGCTGACTCTACTAACGGGAACATATTGCTGAAAGGGTCGAGTATCTCCTCGCGAAGCTGCGTCGCACAAGAACACCGTCACAAAGAACGGATAGAGTTCCATTTCCATTTCAGTTCGCATTTTGGGCTGCCTTCGACTGTGAGGCGATGCAATGTTGGCTGGAATGTACGGTACAACGATGCGATGAATCGGAGGACCACCATCGTACCAAGCCTGAAGAGCGGAATACGCCAAAGGAGGCAAAATTTCGTATTCATGCCCCCACTTGATGTCAGCCCGCAACGCCAAGGAGCCATTGTCCGCCAGCAAGTTTGTATTGTTAATTTTGGGCAAACCGCGACTGGTGGTAGCCGTGCCATCGCTGCGACCATCACCGGCATCGTCCACCGTGTGCGACACGCGCTTCACCAGCGAAGCCCACGTCTGGAACCATCCGTGATCAATAATATACCAGACGGTGCCCTTCGGGCCTCTGCGCGAAACTTCTGTCGGTGGATATCGGTATTTGTGTCGGCGCTGCAACTCGGCAATCAGTGTTACTTCCATGCTTGCCAATGCCGGAGGGATTCCAAACAGAACGGCGGCAATCAACCGCAATTCTAAAAGCAAGGGACCCAGGCGTCGCGTCTGCGAAGCCGTGACAATTTTTTGCTTCTCGTCGTTTTTCGCATTGCTGCCATCGCTGCTTGCATAGTGCCAACGACAAAATTCTTCAAAGGATATTTTGCCTTCATCTTCCTTGTTGGAATTCTTGTCTTTGGCTTGCTGCAAGACGTATTCCACCAAGTCTTTCAATGACACTTGCTCCGTCGGAGCGGGTGGCTGGTTTGTGGGTGGCAGCAGTCCCAGAAACGAGCAAGCAGATGCATTGACATAGACATCATCCGAGGCATCCAGCGTTTCTTCATCTTCATATCCTGTCACTGTATTGTCGTCATCCTTTTGGGGTGGAGCGTCCTGTTGCAACCGAAACTGGGCATGTTCCAACAGCAACAAAATCATGGCTCCAATATGCGATCGGTCCAACAACAATCGTCCATCGAGGGGATCTTTTGGTTTTTTCACCTTGGCGCCATTGTTGCTACTAGTGGTGGGAACTTGTGCAAACATGGCAAATACCTGCTTCAAGATGGCTACATCCCGATCATGTGTCGATATTTTCTTGGATTTTCCCTTGTGCGTTTTGGCCTCCTTGGTGCATCGTACCGCTTCGCACCCGAATTTGAGTACATGATACAATCCCCAGAAGGATTTCTTTTTGGAGGATTTTCGATGATTCGACGGATCGCCATCGTCATCATCGTCTATGTCATTGGCTGCATCTACCAACACGGCCGTCGATCCACCCATGAGAACGGCACTGAATACCATTCGTGCCAATCTCGCGGGGAGGTATCCCCCCTGTCCCATATCATTATTCGGACGGGTCACAGCAGATTCAAAGGCAGATTGGGTAATGACATGTTTTGGTACGGCGGGAGCAGCCGTGTTGGTGGACGTATTGGCCACCTTGGTCCCCGCATCGACGGTTTTTTCTTCCTCATTATTGTCGTCCCCATTCGCCGCCATGACATCTCCGTGAATAATCACGGCCGAAGATTCCACCAGGGAATGGAATCGTCGTTTGATTTCGTAGAGTCTTGTTTCGGCCAACAAGTACTGATGCACAATGGGTTGCGGATGTACCTGCATGGTTTCCAAATACGCCACGGTCGATTGTGGCAATTCTTCCGGAGGCACCATGGCGGCTCCCAGTAGTGAAATCCAATCCAACAAGACATGTCCATTGGATGTTTGTGGGGCGTGTGGTTTTTGTACTACTCGTTGCGCATCGAGTGTCGGCGTGGTGGCGACAATGCGTGATACAAACAACCCTTCGGACAATTGCACCGACGACTGTGGACGAACCGTGGTTTCGCCCGCAGCGGCTGCCGTGGCACTAATGGCCTTGTCGGTGGGTCGAAACACCTTGTCCAGCAGTGTGCGCATTTCTTGTGTTTTGTAGGAATCTTCGCCGTAAACGTCCGTCAAAAATCGATGGACCGTGTCTCGTGACAAGGATCCTTTTTTCTGGTAGGCGTCGTAGAATCGATAGGACAATTTTGCCATGGTTTTGAGGCAAGATTCTAGCATTTGTTGTCGTCTCTGTTCTTCCGCCTTTTCCTCTTCATCGTCTTCGCTCTCTTCTTCGTCTTCTTCGTCTTCTTCTTCGGTTCCTTCTGTCATTTCGCTGTCTCGTTTTGGTCTGCTTGTTGTTGTTGCTGTGGTTGCTGCTGCACTATAAAATTTGTCTTGATAATCCTTACAAACCGCCAAAAATATGATAACGTCTGGAATCCAGACCATATTGTTGGCCGCTCCACCATAATAGGTGGCGGACGATGTCGGAGCATGTCCTTGCAGCGTATAGACCCAACAATCAAAGAGTCCCATGTGTCCCTGCGGTCCACTATGAGGTTGACACACATTGGGGACAGTGAATCGAAAGAGAAGCGACTTGTCCATGCCAAACATTCGCGTATGCGTCGTCAACTTTTGCCAGGATTGTGCCACTACCGGAGGAGTCGGAATCGTCACGGGCTTTTGAGTAGGCACGTTGGTTCTTCGCACGGGAGGTGTGGCTCCATGAGGCAGCTGATTGGGCATGTACAGGAGGGCTTCGACGAGTTGCTCCAATTCTTCATCCCACAATTCTTCCTGCGACGTCTTGGTCTCACTATTAGTAGTGTCGTGTTGGTCGCTGCTTTCCACATGTGTCACATTGGCCGTCACATGAACTCCTCTCGTCCGCAATTGCATCAACGTTTGCACGATCCGACGCACGGTAGGTTCGCCCAGGATCTTGCAGGCCTTCCACACGGGAAGAACGTGAGACAGACTGGTCTTCATGATGCGTTGTTATGTTACTATGACACACACAATGATGTAGGCATGAAGTCAAAGGATCTTTGCTTGTAAATGGATGGAGTAGTATAAAGGGGAGTGCTGTACAGTACTGTTCGATCGTGAATTCAATTCGTCTGGCCAGTTGGTCTTTTTTAGCGAGACTGAAGATGATGAAAAAGATTGCTTGGATCTTCAACTCAATTGTTGGCGCTAGCTAGAGAGCTCTTATTCGATGCCTTGGTGCTCCGGGTCAGTGCGAAATATAATAGGCAACCCTGCAGCCAAGAAAGCCAAGATTGGATGGTGCGCTTGTCTCACTCACTCACTCAATTGCCGACGACACACCTTTGGCCATGGTCGATCTTTTTTTGTGACTGCTTCCAACGGCTCGTTCCCTTCGATATTTTGCTTCGCAGTAGACATTCTACGTGAATAGTAAGACGCACACTTATACTCATAATCTTCATTCGCGGCTCTAACAAAACTTCTGCTCAAAAGCATTGGTTTTGCCCAAGCACGGCACCGGTACCGTACTGAATCACGAGGAAGCAAAGTATCATATCAAGACGACCTTGGGGATATCCACGACATTTGTTGCACACACTGCCAATCATCCGTGTCATGGTTCTGGTCAGGGGGCAGGGAATTCTCCGACCCTGTGGCTGTTTATTTCAAGTACCCTTTTTGACTGCTTTGAAGACCATGCCCATGGGGCAACTTTTGCAAGCCCGGATGGCTCCAAAAGTGTGCAGTTGTTTATGACTGGGTTCGTGGATGACACGAACGCCAGAACCAATTGCTTCAGCACCAATGAAATCTCCAGCATTGAAGACTTAGCGCAGAAGGCAGGCAGAGATGCCCAGTGGTGGAGCGACCTGCTTTGGTCTTCTGGGGGCAAGCTCGAACCTTGCAAGTGCTCCTACCATCATCTCCGATATGAATTCGAGAAATCGGGGAAGCATGTACTGATTCAGGGTGACAAGTGGTCTCCACCACTTGCTTGCAATTCAAGCAGTAGATGGGACCTCGACATTCATCAAGCAGATGGCGAATGGGCAAGACCACAAATCCCTCGGATGTCACAAGGGGCCAAGTGGAGATCTGAAAGCTCAGAAACTGGCGCTCAAGAACAAATGTGCCACTTTCACACGTGTGCTGAAGTCCCCCCCCCCTCAACAGGAGGGAGGCAAACATGTTCTACTGTTCCATTTTTCTCTCCAGTGTGTGATATCCACTGGAGACGACAATTTTCAAAGACATTGACCTAACCTGGATCGTCTGGAGAGTGGCCCCAGAAGGGCGGCATTGCAGAAGAGGGGGTACTGCAAGAACACCAGCAAGGCAGTATGCTACGTGTCATGGAAGTATGGACGCATTGATATGCATCGATTGGCTGACAAGCAGCCCATTGGCTTTTAGTGCAGCAATTCATCAAGCGCAACAAAACTTCTGCACAATACAAAGGCTTGGTTTTGCCCAAGCACGGCACCGGTAGACTACTGGTACCGTACTGTAGCACCATTTCACGTGATTTTGGACGCCGCCGCTGGACTCCACTTGACCCAACATTTTGGACGCTCGTCAACCCAACCGTTAAAAAACCCGCACCATCCGACTCCGAAAGAATTTCCAGGAACCGCGACCCTGCTGCATCTGTGACCGGTGATTGTTCCAGTGAACATGAATACGAGATGCGTGAGATGTCGGCCCCACTCACTTTCCTTTCCTCTCCTCCTCTGTCTCTCATATCCTCCATCTCGTTTCGTCCCACCGATCTCGTGACGAGACCGAACCATGAGCGGCATGAGCGCGAGCTCCGATAACCAGCCGATCATCATCTACGGAGATTGTGGCAACGATCTCCTCCATTCGAAGGCCGCAAAGCAAGGCAACGCAATCACCCATTTCAATCATTTCTTGAAGAGCTATTGCCCCCATATTGGTATCGATGTCGTCGAGGCCAAAGACATTCCCTACCACGGCATCCCGAAAAAGACCTCCTCCAAGGCTTGGTCTGAATTTTGGGGCCAGATGATCAGAAGTTTCTTCTCCTACATGGCCACCGATGCAAGGCACCGATGTAATCCTAGTGCAGCCCGCCTCGCGGTTGGGTCTGCCGCTCAGTATTGCTCTTCTGTAAGGACATTCTTCACTGATAAGTTTCGGGACGACCCAGTCATTCCAGTATTTCAGGTAGAGCACTGAAATAAGTGGAAGAGCTGGCTCCGTTCAAAGTACCGTGAGGAGAATCGAGCTCAGGGTAAATCGTCTGTGACAGGAAAAGCGTCGAGCACTCGACGATAACTTTTAGGAGCGAGAGCTCTGGATCCCGTCAGAGATAGCTCCAACAGCTATGCTGGCCTACAACTCCAGCATGCGCGGTTGGCTTATCTCCCAGCAAAGCAGCAAGAAAGGATCGTCCTTTCTGCCATAGTTAAGAAAATAGTACGAAAGATTGAGACCGATCCTGATTAGCTTGTAGCCCCTTTGATACCGCAGCAGTTGATACCAATCCTGTTGAGGCCGGGCAGAAGCAGTAGGAGGTAGCAGAGAGTACTGTTCCCAGACTGCCACTGCACGATTGAATAATGAAGGCCCCCAGCTCCTGAGGAGGTGAGCTGGCCCAAAGGGTCCAGCAGAGAGCTCTGCTGGCCCTCCTGTCTGACTGACAGGGCCAAGTCCTTGGTTTGGTGCCTACTGGAGGTGTTGGAATACTCCTGAGGCACGACAAGGCTCCCTGAACTGCCTGACTACCGCTGTCCCTGAGGAAGGGTTTCAGCGAGACCCAGTCCACTACTTGGGTATTGGAACTGAACCTTCAAGAAACTTATTGGATTAACGGTCGCATAGATTTCAGGCAGTTTTAAGGGAAGGAGAGTCTCCAGGTCGACAAGGAGCCCTCCGCATTACAACAATCAGTGCTACACTACAGTTACAGTTGGTTTCACTGGATTTGACAACAGGATTTCAAGGCTCCTTTTGAAGTCCTAAGTCAACAACCTTCTGGTCAATTCTGATAGTTCCAGCCCTCACCACAGTGACAAGCACCTCCGGCTTGACCATCTACCATCTACAATAAGCCCAACACAAAGCCCATTGCCTTCGAAAGGACCCACAACTTGACAACAACCTCATTGCCGAAGCTACCATACTAGTACTTCCAACGAAGAGAGGAAAAGCACCCAATTCACTCGAAGGAAGTCACTAGTCCCGGTACGGAACACCTGGAGTCTCCGAGAGAACAGGAGACTTATTGATTTGCACCTATTTTGGCAACCGTGCAAGTCTTTTACGTCCGAAGAAGCAACCACGGCTTATTGCGTTGAACGTGGCTTATCTCTTCTGAGTACAGGCTTATTCCTTCGAAGCTTACCGTGATTTATTGCGTTGTCCCCGGCTTATTTTTTTGCCGGATTCTCATTGATCTTCACGGAACGTCCTTGGCCAATCAAAACTTCCGTGCAGTTTACGAGTGTCACGAGTTTCCATCCTATACGGTATCAGCGATTTCACGGAACGTACAAGGGTTCCAGAACGTTCCTTCGCAAAGTCGCTCAGCCAATCAAAACGTCCGTGCAGTTTCAGTACTTATACGACGTGCACTGAGTCAGTTTATGCTGTCGCGCGGAACGTACAAGAAGTTCTTCTTCGATCTTCATCTTTGGTACCACTTCAGAGAGTTAAACAACAACGTTCCCCGAACCGAAAGCAGGCTCAGCCTCGGTAATTGGTTTGCGCTCACATTTTAAGGTGTTTACGTGGTCGAGTCATTGAAAATCGAGTAGTACGGTAGTGCGGAGCCCGAGATCGCGATCTGCCAGGAGACAGAGCCACCCAACTCGAGGAAATCGGAGCGACACGGCGACTACACCACCCTCCTCGACCAGGCCGCAAGTACCACCACTGGAACCACCACCCTTCAATTGGTCAGTGGGTATATCACCTGGGATTCTAGGAGCTTTTGTGGGGAGATTCATTGGTCCCAGTAAGCTAGCTTCCAGTGAGGCAAAAACTCCACAAACCAAGCCATTTCCCAGCACCACGGCAACACAGGAAGCAGGCTCCAGACCCCCTACACTGGCTACCTTATTCAAGAACAACCCAATTGAATTTACTAGCCCCATCGCAAGGTTCCTGGAAGTCTCCTTTGTGGTTTCCAAAGTCCAGTTGAGTCAGCTTCACTCTACGGCTACAACAGCTGGATTCCAGTATTTCCCAAGCACAACAGGTACACCTCTTCCTTGGCAACACAAGAGGCACAATGTCTAGCTCCTCAGACCAATGCTGGTGCCACTACTCAGACCGATGCCCGTGCCAGCACCAATCCATCTTTGCAATCCTTGACAAGGCACCGGCATCACCTGTTCCCAAGCCAATTGCTACCCCAACAGCCTATGAAATGGCAGAGGCCATAGGTGGCTTCCAACCAATAGCAACAATGTCACCATCCAACTCAAGACATGGGATGGCAAAAGATACTCTCCTGTGGGAGATCCGGTCGCTCAATTTCGACGTGACTGATGTGGCTAGACGCATGATGGCCTACAGCAGGGCTAGAGGACCGATGGAACAACACAGGCAGCAAGCAGCTACCGGTAGCGACTACAGGGCCAGGCAGCACAGGCAGAATGTAGCCGCCTCCTGGACCAGGCACCCCAACCACCAGGCAGTTTCCCAGCCAGCTTATGGGGAGCCGCCAGGCACTCGTCCTTTGCCCCTTACAGCGGCACACCACCAGCTGACCAATGCCACTCCACTGTCAGCCATGGGCAGTGCTGATGGCGTCCACAAGCCGACTGGTGACATTGCTATTGGTACCCCACGGCTCCACAGCCCAAAGAAGCAGCAGCGCCACAGGGCTACTCGTTCCAAGCAAGAGGCCACTACCATCCAGCAACGATTGACTGATGCCCTCTTGGCCACCAACCATCAGCTGCCCACCAATGTAGCCACGGCTCCATCTCCCAAGCTAGCTTGTGGGGAGTTGCCTGTCACACGACCCCTGCGTGTCCCAGCTACGAGCCACCAGCTGCCCAGTGCCACACCCTTGAATGCCTTCGCTGGTGCCCATCTATCGTTGGATGATGGGGAGATTATCGAGCTTGACAGCCCTAGTAGTCATCCAACTAGGGAGATCATGATGGCAAAACCTCCAGTCAGCAAGCAACCAGCTTCCAGTGCTGGCGCCAACAACATTCCAGTTGCACAACCAAATAGACCAAGTGTGACTCCCACTCAGCCAGCTCTACAACCAAGAACACATGAGCAGACTCACACAGTGGTGACCCCCAGGCAACCTGCTCCAAGACACAGAGCACACAAGGGTCCCACCACAACCAACATTGGCAGGAGACATAGTGGTCCATCACCTATAGTGAGGCCCAAGATTCCCAGACTGGTTCCCACAGAACCACCAACCTATGGCACAGCCAGTGCCACAAGACTTGTGCCCAATGAGGTAACA